CAAGAAAACTCAAAGTTCACAAATACTATGTGACATCCATCTCTGGTTTTGTTATATTCCATTAAGCGGAGAATTTTTACCGACATTAGTTCGCTGGGTCGTAACACAGAAAATCATAGACTGTATTGACTCAATCCTTGAAACACGAAATTTTATTTTTTGCAAGATGCTAGGAGAATCAGTTTGATAATTAATAATTAAATTGATTAATTTAAACTGAAGATTATAAAAAAACTGAACCTCTGGCGATATGTCTTTCGGCAGGCGATTAAACTGAAAACTGTTTACATATTAATTGATTGGGTATCCAATTTTTTGAGTACATTTGGGTACAAACAATTTTTCATCGAATATCATTCCAAAGTCTGTAAATTCAGTTTCGCGTGATCGTACAGTATTATCAACTTGCCATGAATTATGTCCTTTTTCTAGAGACAATGACTACCTACAAAGCATATAGAGGGATTGAGAGGTTGTTATGATAATACGCAATGCAAGAAAATTACTTTCGATGATGTTAGATGGTCTGCTAGATTTTTTTCGATAATTTCGTGATTACGCCAACACTTACATGAAGGAGGGCAATCACGATTCTGGTCTTTCCGCTTTGAACCGCGATGGTGCTAATTGTCGTCGTCTTCGACATAGTCGAGGATGCCGACGTCTCGCCGTTTTCTACCGGCATTTTGGTATCCATGGAAACCCAAAAATTAACTTAACTGCACATCACTGAGCGAAAAACTAAAGGAACTTTGCATCTAGTTGATATTTCGGCAATATCGAGTGGGCAGCGCTTTGTGTACGATGTGTTTCGTATATCGAGAGAGTATTTTTACCGCGTGCGAGCCGGTTGAATGTTCGCAGTTGCCGCGAGCCGCAAAACACACTGAGCACCGATTCTCCTGCTGCCAAAGCGGTCCTGCCGGCCGCAGACTGCTGCAGGAGGTAGGTACGGACGACGGCGATGTGGTCATCACGCGTGAAACAAGCGAAATCCGCCGGTCAATTTGATGTCTGTGAAATCTGATTTTTACGACCGTCCTCGAAAACAAAATACTTATATCGATGGAAAAGAGATCGTTGAGTGATGAGGGCGAACGCTCTAGGGGTGTGACGTAAGCGCAAATCAAAGAGAGGCCAGACAAGTCAACGATGAAATGTAAAAATTCAAATGGAAAACCATTCGGAACCCTAGGGAGTATTTGCCTTCCATTTTGAAGGAAGTAATAGTTTAACCCATTCGTACCGGGTAGCTAATTAAGAAGGTCCTATCTCGAAAAGTAATGGTAAAGACTTGAGGCTAAGGCAAAATGCTGGATATTATTTTAAAGTTTCTAGAATCCAGGGTATATTTTTGAGTTTTATGCCCCGCTTTTTGCGTAATAATTTTATATTGCCGATAAGTAAAATGGACACCGTTATAAAGCTGGGATAAATTCTCTGGAGGAATAGGAAAAATAATAATGGCTCAACGCATGTTGTCAATCTTGTAGTTGTAGTTGAAAATGGTTCTTTTTAAGCTATCAACACTGCCCTGAGCAGATTGATTTAGATTGCTTGTCGCTAGACGGCGACATCACTATAACGATGTCATTTTTTTGCAAATAGGAGTGAAATGACATTTGGATAACTCCTTAATGCTAGTAAAATAAATAAAAACTGTACATAATGTCGAATATTTGGGAATATCAACATTATATTTAAAATGTCAATAATTATAACAAATTATAAAGTGTCAATCTAATTGCAGCTATTTATAGTGTATTTTGGTGATGTTATTTGTAAAAAAATGCCTTTCCTAAATCTAGTATATTTTTAAAACATTGAAAACGCAAGTCTTTCTGTCTATGCGATCTAGTCTCCTATATTAAATCGCAAAGATCGTGGGTATTTTATTTTATAAATTATTTACTTTTATTTTTTGTTATTATTTATATTATATAAAGGAATGGCATGTTAAACCATTTTTTGGCCATCTTTAGTTGCATTAAAAGTGAGCTCTCTCTAGCGGCGATACAAGCAATCGTCATTTTATCACAATGCCTTCAACCATTGTGTAGTTATCGTAATTTATTTCCGCTCCCTGGCGAGCATTTTAGAAATTTAAAAATTATTTCAAGCATTTTCCCTTGGCCGCTTTAGTCATAAGCTCATATCTCATATCGTCATAAAATATTTAAAGAAATATTTTTCCTAAGCAGACACCATTAATAGGACCGGGAAGAAATGTTCGCTCAAGACAGGTGTCCACTTTATTTGAATTTAAATATATTTCAATTTAATTCATATTAAAGTACCTCTAGTACAATATACAATTGAAAATTCAACAAAACATGACTTATTAATTAAAATAAAATAAAGCAAGAGCAATGTCTGTATTGTTGTCACCAAATGTTAATAAGTTTCCTAAAGCAACACGAAAGCTCACATTGCCTTTATTTTAATTTAAACTGCTCTCCATTCATATATTTATGTTAATTTGAAATAACTTAAATATATAGAAAGAAATGACCTTGTCCCCCTTCATTCAACTACCCATCTTCAGGTAAAGCTTGTAACATAAATAACAGCTTGTCACGTCACATTACTGAGAATTCAGTAAGTATTTCTTATAATAACCTTAAAATTAACATTTTGTCCACTGCAAGCACTTAATATTTTTTCTCATATTTAGTTTTAGTCCCCAGATTTCCTTCCTTCCTTTTCTTTAGTGCTCGAAACGTCTTGCTTTCTTCGTTGCTTCGTTACTGTGTGGCAAATATATTGAAATTTATCCAAAAGGCATGAGAGATTTCGTCGGTAGATGAGAAAACGGACAAACTAACTAAAATGTTTACTGTATTGACCTTTTGTATGTAATTAAATTCTATCAAGTTGTTAATATTTTTAATATTTTGAGAAAATTATATGGATTGATTGATTCTTCGTCATGTGTTTTCGGTCCTGATGTAGCTAATTAAAATCGCAAAGTTGGTATAGTAAAATTCTACTTTGCGCTTATATGTTCCACCAATCCACGAATTAGGAATAATGAAGTATTGCTCATATTAATGAGCAACACCTCAAATCAAACTTGATGGCTCCAGAAAGCTGAAAGACACATTGTTATCAAAATGGGACTGTGATCTAAATTTTAAAAGATATTCTCATTTTTGCAGCGGATCTTGCTCAAAGTTATAACAACGTTGCAACGTTAAACCTTGCAGATTACTATGTTCAAAATTCTAATGAACACACATCTTCAACTGTGTTAAAATTATAAATTAATATCTAAAAAATACTTTCACTAAAATTGACTTACAAATAAATAAGTTTTGTCATAACAACAGCTGTCTAAGCTGAATTTGTTCAGGTTTATGAGTGTAATGATATAATTATATACAGGACGTGTCAAAAGTAAAATGAATTCAACAGGGTGTTATTGAAATCGACATGATATAATTTAACTTTGGTTTGTTGTTTGATACGCATGGCGAATGTCAGTTTGACAGTCAAACCAGGTTGCGGCCACAGTTCTGTTGGTTGGTGTTGGTTTGTTTTTTTCCGAATGGGACCCAATGAAATATCAGGGTGGGAGTCCATATTGACTTGTTAGATTATATGATATCATTTCATTAACACCCTGTATTTTTCAATATAATTGAAAAATTTTATTGGATAATAAGAGACTGTATTTTTGAAGATATTGCCAAAAACCTGCTTTCATCAAATTGACTAAGTTACCAAAAATTTAAACCGCTTCCTGGAAGACGAAAGTGAGCTTACACATGCAGAATCATTGTTTAGATTTAATGCAGGAATGGTTCTATTTTCGTAGCGTTGTGTCAGGCTTAAAACGTGTAAACAAAATCTCGTTAGTATTGCGAGCAGCTTTATTGACAAAGCCAATTATTCGGACTTCCAAGAGCCTGGCTAATTAAGATAATATAGCAATTTGCTTTGTTGTTATGCAGATACTAGAAGACAAAAAATAGTAACTGCTAATATTAATTATATAAGCTATATAACTGTAGTCGAAATTGTTTACTCGAATGTATGATTGCAGCTCTATTTAAAAAAAAATCGTTCAAACTTCGAAATGTAAGTTTGCGAATTATTTTTAAAATTCCATGGGTTAATTTCATCTGCCTGACTTTTAGATATACCAATCCAAAAATAACTCGATATGCCACACTTATTTCACGTGCGATGTTCTAGTGATATTTCTGATAGTTTGCGCTGTATATTAAATTCTTAAAATTCTTGAGCGCCGAGGTTTGTTGATTCAGGATTGCGTTAAAAGCACTGCAGCTTTTATGATTCTTAAAATACCACACCGCTCTTATTGTTAAAAAAATAAAACCAGGTAGAATTCCGAATCTAAAAACACAAACCTCAAATTGACAGTAATAGGTTAAGGCACAAATAATCAAAACACTCATTCCAACAAACAAAAATAAAATCGCTTTATTAACAACACGAGCCGAACAAAAATCGCATTTTAAGCACAAAAACTAACATTTATTTCAAATATTTATAAATACTAATGAGAGTAATACAGTGTTAGTATTGTTAAAGTAAATTTTGACAAAATATGTGATACATGTTATTTATTTTTCGACAAATATTTATTTGAGGAACTAAGAAAATGAGTGCAGTATAATAAAATTGATAACTACATAAAAATAAACAACATATTAGAGAAAACATCTATAAATTTTTATTTAAACGAGAAATAAAATTTTACAAAAAATAATAAATAACGTTAATTGACATCGATTTTTATAAACTAAGAAGGCAATATTTATCCAAAGTATTCCATTTGGCAAAACCTGTAATTATTTCGCTACAGCATTATTATTATTATTTTCATATCGTGGATTTGAAGCTTTCTGTAGCAATCGCATTCGCCATTTTGTCATGAAATACATGCCGCAGCGGCTTTACAACAGATTTTTAATGGTTCGCTTAGTAACTTCGCCATAATTCTGCCATGCTGCATCTTGCTCAAGCACACCTACCTCTCTCAATCTTTTCATTAAGTCTTCGGCGTCTATTTCGCTTTTACCACGTCCGTCAAGAACGACTTCCGTTCCATCGGTTCCCCGGAACCTGATGGACTTTTCTCTTGTCGTCTCGCCTTCCGCGTTTTTGTCTCTCACAGTTTCCGATGTCAGAACAAACGATTTCACCCCTAAGGTATGCTGCTGCTGGACTTTTATATGGGTGGTTTCGGTCACCTCGCGGGCTATCTTGCCCGGGGGAACCTCGGGAGACGGTTTCAGGACCTGTAAAAGAATTTTTTTTTGAGTTTCTGTAACATCTTGCTCTGAGACAGCTGCATTGGGTGTTTTATGGATAAGTTACTTTTCAACTTAACAGGTAAAAACAAAAAAATTATAAAATAACTCCATTAGTTTTCTACCTATTGCTACTGCAAATGCAAGTTTTTCATGTATGCCCTGGAAGTAGCCCAAGTTGTGTGGACATTTGAGGCATTCATAGAATCATGAGGAAGCCAAAGATATTAACCACAGAAGAGACCTGTACTATTATCAGAGATATGTTGCTAGAAAACAGTCAATTCTATGGTGAGACCTTTCTTTATAGTTTTCGTGGGATATCATTTTTATGGTTATTTTTTTTACACTAATAAGAAAACTAATTAAAAAACATTAAAAATTTTAAAAAAATGATACATATCAGGTATTCAACGAATATCTACAGAAACATATGTCAGGAGACGACAGTTTTTAAAGCAGAGCTAATTATAGGGGAAAGAAAAGTAGGTGCTAAAAACCGAGTACTGTTTTAGGGTTACAGGTTTAGAATGTAGTTGGAAAATTGAATTGAATAAGGAAATAAGCCAAAGTAGTCTCACAAAATAAATGAACTTGTTGGGTCCGCGTAAAAATCATTTGCGAATTGCACCCACATCACCCTCATCACCCCAATATCTTAGACGCCATTTACGACCGCAGAAACCACCGACTCATCTACGTAATTTATACTTGCTTTTCTTTTTGTTCCAATTTCTCTCACTTTTATCTTTTGTTTTATGTTCTTGAATGATTGATTGTATTTTTTTTCTTTTCTTCTATTAAGTTCTTCTTAGACTAAACTCTTGCCATTCGCCATTTTATAATATCGATATTTTTATTATTATTTATTAATGTCGCTCCTCGACTGTGATTAAAGTTTCGAAATAATTAGTTAAAAAGTAATGCAAATATTTTTATTTTTCCCACAATTTAGATATTCTGATTGGTGTAAAGTAGTAGTTAAATTTGCAAAGGCACATATTTGGTAATAGAATATAATCGAAAAATGTTTTTAAATACAATATCGGGCTGTTACTAATTCTTGATTATCTTAGTTCCCACCGAATTTCGCCCTTTCAATCCACACCCCCCCAAAGAAGACAGATTTACATCACCCCATTTCCCTAGCATTTTAGCAACGTAGAATTTGCTAGTCAAATTTATTAGAGTATTTCATTAACAACTTGCATAAAATACTAATCGCTATAAAATTGAACCAAAGATAAAGAGCTTACGTCTTTTATGGGAGGCAATTCCGGTAGACCTACTCCAAGCACCATTTTTTCTTTAACGATGTTGTCTCTCATGTCGTCTTTTCCGTACTGCCACCAAGGGGAGTAGCGCTGCTCGCACTCGGATGCTGTGTTGTACGAAGAGGAGCGCGAATGCTGAAGAGTACCATCAGAGGCGGTTTGAAACTCTTCGTCAGATCTCAGCTGATCATCAGTTTTATTAAGTTTCTGCAGATAAAGTTCAAGGTGAGATTTTGGCACTAAACCGTTAACCATTATAGTGCGTAATTCCAGGAGCCCAATGCTAAATTACTGAAATTACGTCTTATCATCATGTGTAGTGCGAGGGTATACAGATTTTTTTTTAATGGCCTCTTTTAATGTGATTCTATGAGAAATGGATGATTACTTTATGTTAATTGTGGTATAAATAGACTACCTCCTTTCCTTAAGCAGATTTAAGGAAAGTCTAAACCAATACTTTTGGAGCTGCAGGTTTCTTTTTCTTACACTCCCTGCATATATTTGATTGTGTCTAGACCTAACGATGCTTATTATAACAAACGATTAAAAGACCAAAAAATTCACTTCCAGAAATAAATGATCCATTTCGAAATTTAATTTGGACTGGGCCATGTGTCTTTCGTTACCTACCAATTGTGATTCTAACATAAAAAAACTAAAATTACAGTAATAAAAATTTTGAATTGGTGTTTCCGTTGTTGGAAGATTTGGATATTTGGTAGAATAAATGAAAGCCCTGAAAAAAAAGTTATTGAATATTTATCAAATTTTCTATACATGTAAAAACTGAAGAAAAAAAAAACAATTTAGAATTAGGTATTGGATTTTAATAAAATGCTAGCATACGTCCATCAAATTTTTTTCTTGAGTATTTTTGCACTAAACAAAAAGTAGATCTTGATCCAAGTTCCTGTTTTTAATGGAACACCATTTTCTTAAACCCATTTTTGGATTCTGCGTCAAATTCCACGCATAATTCATGCATACTCTGCTCTGCTGTCTGCTATATTTTATGAATAAAAGAATTAAAAACCGAAATTTCATTTTGAAATGAACAATGAATGGCACAATTGCATTTCTGCCCCTAATGGAAGTGAATATGGCAAATCTAAATGAAGAGAATCGCAATTTTAATTTTTATTAAATAAAGAGACAAAACGAGAACTCAAGTAAAAGTTTGCAATTTGTTTAATACAAAGTATCTAGATAATGCCATTACGAGATCCACACTGAGTAAAATTGAGAAAAAAATTATAGAAATATATATGCAAAATATAGTCTACGGCCAGACCGTCCAAAGACTAAACCCATCGTGCATCATCTGAAGTAGCTTCAAATAATGATGTTGACAAACGAACAGCTCTACATGTATTAAAAGAAAAGAAAAAGAAAAAAAGTGTCATCCGTACAATATTTTATTACTACAGGAGTTGAACGAAGATGATCCCGACCGCAGACTACAGTTTTGTGAAACTATGATAGAAATCTGCAACTCAAATCCATTTTTTCATAGTCAGATACTATTCAGTGATTAAGCCACACCCTGTTTAAATAAAAAAAAATGTAGATATTGGAGTACAAATAATAATCGGTGAATGAGAGAAAGAAATGTATGGCAGAGACTTTGAATAACAAAATTATTAAACCTCCAAGTCCAACGTTTACAATTTTTTCAAAATAACTTAACAACCTCTCCCGCAGTTTCTTTTCCATTTTGCTCCACAAATGGGGAATATTAAATCAGTGGATTGGTAGAAGGGCATCAATAGAATGTTCTGCAAGACCTCCAGATATTACCCAACTGGATTTTTCTTCTAGGGATATTTAAAATTAAAAACTTAGATGGACAATTTAGATGATTTAAAAATTAGAATAGATACGGAATAATGCAAATTACTGAAAATACTTTGAGTAATATTTTGGAAGGATTTTTAAACCGATTAACGTATCCTCAAGAAGTTAATGGTGGGCATTTTCAACACCTAATAAAATAATGTCTTTGACATGATTTTTTAATATTTTGCTCACAAAAAGTGAGACTGAGAGTATGGTATGCTACATGAATTCCAAAATGGATTTAAAAAAATAGCTTTCCATTAAAAAAAGGAACTTAGTTTCTACTTTTTGGCCCATCCTGTTTATGTTCTGTTTACTGTAAATAATACGCAAGAAAATATTAAGATGGACCCAATACCTGATTTTTATACGACTTTGTTCCATATGTTATCCGTTCACTTTATAATGATATAGATAATAGGAAACTTTTTTTTAGGATTTATTCAATGTGGCCGATGTCCCGGCCTTCCGCTGTGACCTTGAGGAATAGACAATATACATTCATTTCCAATTTAATATTAACCGTATAACTTACGGCAAGTATTATTAAATCACCAAAGTTCGTTTATTTTCCCAAAAATGGAACCAAACTTTCCAAATCTTTGGTTAACAATTGAACAATGGTTGATTGACATTCTTCACTTACCTCGGATGTGCTTGGGTTGTTCTCCATTTCTTTCGGGGAAGAGCAGGGAATATTGTTGTTTATTTCGCTAAACGACGAATTGGTAGAAGTAGAAGCAGTGGAGAAAACTATACAGTCTTGCTGTGCGCTTTTTAAAGCTTGGTCTAGCTCTTCCGAGAGCTGGGTGACTTCGGAGAGTCTCTCGGATATAGCTTCGTTTGCGATTTCGTTGTTTTTGATAGCGTCGAGAGATAGTTGATGGAGGTTTTCGTCTAACTTGGAAAAACTGCAAAGAAGCGAAAATCAGAATTCCATATTGAACCCGACAATAACTCTTGTATCATTTTAAAGAGGTGTTTATTGTAACAAATTTCGACAGATATTTTTGAATTTAAATAAGCCCTCGATCGAGTAAAACAACCAATTTGCTGCTGTTCCAAAATTTAATGATTAATTTTACGCGATGAATTATAAAAATAATATTATAAATTGCCTGATGAATCACTTGCCAGTATACAATATGCCTCAGCGAGAGATCCTGTCAAGTATTCGATTAACGTGAGATCGAATTTATCAGCAACCTTGACGAGAAAACATTATTCTTGAAAAACATTAATCAAATTAAGCCAGAAAAAAATTTCCTCTGTTTTAGAATACAAGTATTAAATTATTAAATTCCACAATTATAGGGATTAGCTAAACAATTACTAGCAAATTATTTACAAACATATTGTTTTGGAAAACTTTTTGGGTATTAATAGGGACACCCGCGTAACTAGCAGTGCATATGCCAAAATTTAATGAATTCTGTATTAAAAACAACGCGTTTTTACATAAATTTGGACCTCTAAGACAGAAAACATGTGTAATTTATTAACGCGACGCCAAATGAAATACTTCATTACCGCTGTATTACGTACAAAGTTCGTAAATATAACGTTATTGCTACTGGAGAATAACACAAACATTACATTGCTAGGACAATTGATCACAGTTATTTCAAACAACGTAACATAGTAGTCACGATGTGTTAGTAATGGCGAATGAGTTTAGTTACTTTTAACCAAAAAAATACACATTTAGATTTTCATGCCGTTGGTTTCAAGGCTACTAAAAACGGTACAGGTACAATTAATGCATTGAAAACCACACAATTTAAGGACTTCTGCAAGAAGGTAGAGATAGTTGACACGAAAGTCTAAATATCTTCTCTAGTTTGCCACATCCATCCAAATATTACATGAAAATTTGACCGCTGTTATTATTTGTTTTCAATCAAAAATGTCTTGAAAAGGCTAAAATAGAAAATTAATTACCTAGTTTAATTGGAAGGTGAAATAAATAATTAGAGAGAATAGAATTGACAGATAGAATAAATCGTTTGAAATTGCCAGTTTTCATTCCCAGTTAGAAATTTGTCTCGACAGTCGATGAAATCAATGGCCTCTGAAGTTATTTTTTAATCAGACAAATCAAAATACCACCTATTTGAGGTTAAGTAAACTCCGTTTTCTAAATATAACCCCACAACTGCTAGATCTCATTACACTCGAAATTTACACAAACACGCAAAGCAATTATTTTTGGCCTCTGGTACAAACGTAAGACTGTCGGATTTCAAACATAATTAAAAATAACACGGATCCATTTAAAAATAACCCGAAAACGCCTTAATACTTTTCCACTTACAGAAGGTTTTCGGATGTTAATATGAAGCCGGTTAAGTCACGACTGTCTGCATGGTCGGCCCCTCCACTTGGGCGTTAATTTTAGAAGGCGCAAAGTGTATGAACTCGGAGTGCGAGTTTCACGCAAAATTTTGGAATTTTTATCTATTTTTATTTATAAGAGTAATACTATTTGCAGAAAATTATTTGTCTCCCGTCTTAAACATGAACAACTTGCCTTTCCTCTTGATAAAGCGACTCTTTCAGTCTACTTCTCAATAATCTTCCGAGGCGAACCATCCTTCCGACTTCTACCATTAATTTTTCCCTTGCTCCAAAGTAGTAATTGACCCTGGATCGTTTCTTTGTCAATGCCATTAAGGGGATCGTGGCCACAGCTTCCCTCATATCTCTAAGTTGATTGCAATGATCTTCAATGGACCTAAACGTCAATTTTGAAGTTAGCGCTACCGTTTCAGATGTATAGGGTATTTTTCGAAAAATGGCTTGTAAACAGAATTTAATGATTTGAGTGTAATATATCGGAAAGTATTAGTTTATTAGTTATCAACCCAGAAATTAATTTTTTTGTACCTTTCCAAAAATGTACACGCACGCTTCAAAGAAAATATATATCTGTATATATATATATATATATATATATATATATATATATATATATATATATATATATATATATATATATATATATATATATATATATATATATATATATATATATATATCTGTAATTATATTTTATTTTACTTTTTTTTTTGTCCTTAACTAATTAAAAAAAAATCCAAAACAACAAATTGTCCGATAAGTTTCAGCAAATTTTCAAGTCAAGTAGTTATAATAATTTTTATTGAACCATAACTCGATTTCAATTACAGCCTACAGAAATTTAAACCTTTTAGCAAGAAGTAAGAGTTGAGTACGGTGACGATACAGTGACAATTATCATAAAAAATATTTTTCCAGTTGATACAAAAATATTTAATTACTCAAGGTATTCAAGGGTTGATACATCTTTTGTCTCATAACTCGTGCGCAGTATAGACTGAACATATTCGGCTTTGTCTTTTGCCAGAAAATTGCCGCTTGTCTAAGGGAGTTAAAACAATACCCACCGGTGAAATACCGCGGAAACTCTAAGTCTGGTCATTTGTTCTTGACTTATGTGCAAAATCGCTTCCCAAAAATTTCTCAAGTTTTGACAGAGAGCGTTGTGGGGGGCAAGTGGCAACTTGCACGATTGCCTTAGAAGAAGTGACGCACTTAACAGTTGGCATCCATAATTATACGCGTCCTATAAAAAAAATGCTTAGTTGAAAGACATACAATGTACAAATCATCAAGAATCACCTTGGCAGTTTCTTGAAATATCTGATGTTCTTCTTTTTGCAATTGTATTTCGTACACCGTAGATCCGACGTGTCCGTGGTCTCTTAGAATTACAGTCAAAATATCACCTAGCCATTTCACAGCTTGTTGAGCGTCTTTTTCGTATGTGTCTATAAAAGTAACCTGCTGCAACGAGAGTTTCTGTAACTCGACGCTGTCGCTGAATATATTCTTTCTCGCCACCGTGGCGTCTAGAATATCCCGAATGTTTCCGATATCTTCGCTGTAATCGATGCTAATTTCTTGTCCAAGAGCATCTTTCACCGGCATCGACAACATATCGGACAACTTCTCTCCCTGTTTCCTGAGATCTTCTTCTATATTATCTGCAAATTATTATATAGATAAAATTTGCGCAATCGGGTTTAAGTGTCTCTCAAACTGGGCATTTAGTCTTTGTTCGTAGTGTTTTCTCAAGCAAGCACTAGACCGCAATTTTATCAACATCAAGTTACATGTGAGCTCTTCGTTTGTAAAAAAAATATAGCTAATTTATCTTCGGATTATCATCAAAACGCAGGTGCTAAATTGTTTGGTCTGAAACTTGCCTTCTTCCAAATCTTTATTTATTTATATTTATATCTTACCGAAAAAAAACAGGGTAGGTGTAAATGATATAAAATAAAGGCTCATCTTAAATTAAAAAATATATATACCAAAATACGATTTTCGCTGTTTTGTTAAGCTTTTATTCCCATTTACTGTTAATCAAAATTATGTATTCTGCTGCACTTAGAAAACACGCCGCGATAAGTTATAAGACAACGCCCCCTAGGGTCTGTTGAATGAAAGGAGATTTCAGTACTTGAAAATGATTTCCAGCCATTCGTCATGGCCACTTTGGCAGTAATTTATTTCTAACGGGACCCCTGCTACATAGTTATAAGAATAGGCGGGATGTTGCCAAAGTCCTGGGAAACATTTTATATTATTTTGTTAATTTTCGTCAATATTACAGTCTACTTTTTCCACATAATCTGAGGTTTTGAAATGATAGACCTTCTTTCTCCAAAAAGATATGATTTCGAGTTCCATGGATTATTACAAAATCAGTAATATGAAAACTGGTCTATATCAGTCGCAAATTTAAATCAAATTGAGCATAATTGCGCTAGGCAGTTGCATAAACGTGTCAAGACTTGTGTGGCAGAAATAACATTGCATTTATATTCTTTGTAATATAATTATAGCATTATTCCCAGAACTTTGGAAACATCAATCATAGTTTTAGCTCTGGGAAACTTTAAATGTTATTTTTTTTAAAGAAATTATTTTTTTTTGTTTAGTTTAAGTTTTTCTTAAATTTTACCGTCGTTTTTTTCGAACACACGTTTACTGGGTGCAATAATAGCACATATAAAAAAAATATCTATTTTTAGGTAATTCCACCATAAAACCTTTGTGTTTTAACCACGAGCAATACACGCAGATAGTTATCTTACTGCAGTTCCGCTAGAGAGGTAGGGCCACTATTGAATTTCCCGCCTTTTTTGAAGCGCGCAAACAGGGGAACTCCTTATATAGTCTTAGAGATGAGCTACGATGATTTTTTTTTAGTTTAAAAACCAAGCAACTCAAACTTCATTAACTTTCGTTGGAACAAATCAGGCGATATTGTCAAAATAATTGACACGTGTGTTTTCAAAGAAGAAAAAGATGCTCCTGACACATTTTTCTATAAAACAACTTTTAGTGAAACTGACTGCAGAAGCATAAGCATTACGCATAGAAAAATGCGACCAGGCGCAACTTTTACATCTTTTGGAAATGTGAATCTAGACCGTGCTTATCGAGATGTTACACCAATTCCCAAGAGAAACTTAAATGAATTAATAAATTTGCAATTAAAAAATGTGACAGTCAGGTGGTTGTTGCTTTTACTTTGGAATAGCATAGCTTTTGTGTACGCGTCATGGTAATTCTTGTTTTTTATAATATAATATAATTTAATTTAAAATATAATTTAATTATTGTTTACATGCTAAAGTTGATAAATGCACATTTTTTAGTGTTTTAATAATTTCCAGTTTGTTTTTTTTTAAGTTACTACTATCTACCTATGAACCTGTCGTATTCTATTTTTATGCGCATTTTTATAATAAAATGATGTTAAAGCTTTGATCTACTGTTTTATTGGGAATTTTTTTGTCAATTTGTGAAATTACTGTGTGCAAAAAAACCAATAACGGCACAACATTTAAAAACATTTCAAAAACAACTACAAAAAATATTTTTTGTTTTAAAAAGAGAATAATGCAAATATCACCATGAATTTTGTAATAACAGGAGAGTTGGTAAGTGTTATATCAATGTTTCAGTTTTTATTTTCTTAAGTCGCCGATTTTCTCGGAACTATTGTTTCGTGGATGTGCCACTATTGCGCCCAGTGAACTCCTCAACATTATGATGAACTTTACCTAAACACGATTGACTCTCTTGCAATTCTTTCAATTTTCTAGCAGCGTTTTCGAAATCGTTAACATCGCTGCCCATAACTAGAGAATCGAATACGTCGCCGGTTTTGTCAAAATATTCGGCAACGAGTCGGAAAAACCTCAGGGACGTAATCAAGATATTTCGCCTTCTTTCCAGGCGTGAAGCGAAACTCCTGCAAACGAAATCCATAAAGTCTTTCTGGGAAATAATATCTTTCAGTTGAGGATTCGGTTCGTCGTGACTTTTCGAGACTAGATTGATTTTGTAGAGAATTTCCGCGTAGTTTCCGTAAGCTTCCCAGCACCTCAGCTCGATCGTCTCGTGCTCCCGTCTGAGTTCTTCAGCTGACGCGACGTCATAGCCTACTGCTTGGTTTGATTTGAGCATTTGTTCCGCTGGGCCTAGAGAATTGTTATAGCAAAAAAACATGTAAATAATAGTCCGTTTTTGAATTAGTTATTATTTTTGGTTATATCGATGTGGAAAATAAATAATGTAATTTAGTGAAATATAATTTCAATTAGGACCCTTTATCGAGGTAGTAAAGGGTTCAACCATATAGCTACTAGACATATAGAGGCCCTGCCTATGCTAGTAGTACAGCAATTCGTGAAGCAACTATGTAACAAACTTTTGAGAAGGTCCGTTCAATATGAGCATGCGCGAGATTTGAAATTTCGTTTTTAAGCAATAGCAGCTCTAATTACAAATTCTGACGTTCTTGCGGCTTTGAATAACCAACGTGGCCGCTGGCTGGTCGTCAATGTTTTGATGCTACATTTTTACGGCAGTATTTTCTCAAAATGTGTCGAAATCCTATTAAATTTTCGGGTCAAAAAAGGAATTAAGTTGTGAAAAGCGTTGTTAAAAAAGTTAGCGACAGGCGCATGGTTAATATTACGCTGAATTACAGCATACGGATCGGCGTCTTTAATATAATTCTGTAAGTAGTTTGGCGTTTTGGTTCTTTAAGCACTATAGTCAGGATACCAGCTATTTTTCCCGAATTTTGTCCGTAATTTGGCTTAAACAGTTTGTTTTTATAAATTTATTGGTTTAACCTCCATAGAAAATTTAAATAAAGTCGAATTCACGAAATGTTGCTCTAAAAGTGTAAATATAACTTTGAGGTACTAGATATCGCACTGGAAACATCTAAGTGAAAAAAATGTTCAACAAGCACCTTATATAGACAGAAGTTTCGCCTCCCAAATATATAATTATGAAAATTACCAATTGATAATTTCATTAAAAAACTGTAGGTATTGGAAAATGTAACCAAGAAAATTAAAAACTAGTATAAAACAAGTCAGTAAACAATTAGCCCTAAATATAACAGAATTAACATTACATAACATTAACACATTAATATAACATAATAAAAAGAGATAATCATAACCACCAAAAATGTAAACAACAATGTCACAGATTGTTAGTATTCTCCGGAAATAGAATTCCTAGTGTTGTCAATTATATTCGGATTTCAGAGACTGATTTTGCATTCTTATTAAAATTAGTCAATTTTTTCAGAAAATTACGGCAATGTGACAATTTGGTTAGTTGGGGGTGACGCATGCGCAAAAGATCCACACTTTCTCTACGAAAATATCAGAGCCACCTGCGGCGCATCACTTTTTACCGTAATAGGACCACTATATTATCTTATAGCTATATGGGTTCAACTATAACATGTTATTAGCTCACATGGGATATTTACGTTGATCATCTAGAAGCCATTGCTATATACAAAAAATATAAGAGTCACAGATCCTGTAGATGTTTTTTCTACTCCCTAAACAACCCTGCACTGATCAAGCGTGTGAAACGTGTAACGCGTTTTCAAGCTATCGGATGTCTTTACTTTACAAAAAAAACCAATGGCTGCTATTGCTACTTAAGAAAACTCTTGTAGATAATATTTTTACAAACAAAAACTACATATTCGGTTTTCCTTTTCTCTACATCCTATTCTTTGATAATATTCCTAAAAAATTATAATAACAATATTATTAAGAGATGTTAATAAAATACATGTTGAGAAGCAACAAACTATTTCAAATAAATATCAACTTTACTGCAAACTTAAAAATTTATATTTTTGTATATTTTGTTATTCTACTAGTTACTACTACTACTACTTAGCAGAGAAGGTACTTCCCAGGCCAAATACCGTCTTAATATTCGTCTACAATAGAAAAAATCTGTTAAGCATTTTATCATATTGTTAGTTCATAAGATTTATATATTATTCAAAGTCTAGGAATCCAAAATCCGAGGCTACTCTTCTACGAATATACTGGAAGATTTAGCTTACACAATGAAGATTTATTCGATAATAAAAACATTTGAACCTTTTACGGTTACAGGCTATTATTTCAATCTATTTAATTGCACATAAGAAGTCAACAAAAAATCTGACAATACCTAAAATCCAACTTGTGACTTTGGCAATTCCTTCCTCTAATTGGCACAAATCTTTGGTATCTACGAGACTCCGTTCCATTGCCAACCAAGCCGATTCGATTTCCTGTTGCTTTTTTCGAATATCGTTCACAATTTGGTGTATCTTTTCTATTGTGTCCAGGGTGTCTTGCGGTGTGTAGATTTTACTTATATCTTCTATGGAAAATTTGCGAGTTCTGTTTTCGTATTCTATGTTTTGGACTAGCTCTTTGCCTGGAAAAAACTTCAATATAGCTTTCAATATAGTGTTCGAGTCACTACATTCACACATAGGGAATTTTGATTTTACTTTTACTTTTACTAACCAAAACTAACTTTTTTTTGGTAAACTCTTATTTCGTTATCATATCAATCCGCATTTAAAAATTGCCTCAAATGCATTTTTGCATTTTTTTGGAAAAACATTGGATAGAGGTCACATTTTACTCTTTATCACATGCTCTTCACACAAAATGTTTATGTTTAAAATAGTGGATTGAACAGTGCCCTAAATCGGTATTGTAGTAGCCTCTAACTATTTTCAATCAACAAGAATAACTAATTTATTGTTAGCATAGTGTAGGAAGTTATTGACACTTGTTACTTTCGAAAATTCGAATTGTTGGAAAGTATCTACGCTGGTATAAAAATTTTATATCTCGGTAACGGTAGGACCTATGGGATCGCCATTGGTACAGAAATCATCAGTGTCGAAAAAAAAAATTTTTTGTCTGTTCTCAGTTCTCCGTTCTCGTCTTTTGGTTTTTTATGAATAACTTTCAAACCGTTGGAGCTACAAAATTGAAATTTGTCTCCTTTCTAACCCTCCACGAGATACATAAGCTTGTAAGAAATTGCGTCCATCCGACGCCTGCATCCATCTTTTTTTCGCGATTTTCGACTGTGTTTTGAACATTGCTATGAAACACTATAATTGTCAAAAATTTGAAGCAATCGACTTCACATTTGGCACATACATGCTATTTTGACGGAACCTATTGAAAATAGGGTGGCTGGGGGTCAGGAAATATTAAAAAAAAATCTCGTGTGGGTCTACAAAAAAGACCATTTTTCAAAAACCGTTTATAAGACCGAAAAAATTCTTGAAGAAGAAGAGGATAGGGCTCCATAAACTTTTATTCTTGCCAATTTTTCAAAAATGTACAGAGTGCGTCGTAAATTCAAAAAAACTGAAAAATGGGCCCTCCTACAATTGAAAATTGGCAATAATTTCAAATCTGTGTTTTAGATGTCAGTTTCTTTTACATGACAATATAGCCCATATAAACAGAATTGTACAGGGTGTGCGCCATATTCCGTGCAATATTAAAAAACATAATAAGTACCCCAAATTTGCAGCTACCGACTTCAGACTTGGGATAGAAGTAGAAGTATTTTTTTTTTTGGTTATTTTGACATCCAGAAAAACAACGTTTCTTCCAAAACCATTCATCCGAGCGGAAAAATTTTACAACCTCAATACGTGGGAGACCCGACGCTATAACTTTTATTTCACGCATTTTTTCGATTATATACAAGGTGTTTTAGTTATGGATAAAAATCTAAAAGACCCCGAAAATTTTTCTTTTAGAAAGTAAATTATTAAATGTAAATCAAAATTCGCACAAAATCCGTTCAAACTGTGTTATAGGCCGTATCAAGGGCTACAATTTTTGTATTTACGGTTTTCGTCTATCACATACGCTGTTCGAGATATTTTAAAAAATCCAAATGAAAATCCCCATTTCTTGCCTTCGATCTAGACGCGATGACATCATTTACTATTACCAAGTACTGCATGGTTTCAGAAAACAAGTAGTTTTTTGAAAACCATTTACTCCATTGGAAAAATTCGGATACCAGGAAACTATTTCGAACATTCTTGGAAATATATACAGGGTACGTCGTTTGTGCGCAAAAAATTCTAATAATCCTAGAAATTTCCCCTTTTGTGGGTGAATTATTGGCGATAAATGAAAAACTTTTAAAGATGTGATAATTTGATATAACAGTATCGTAAACTGGGTCGAGAGAGAGTTTAAAGTTTTGTCTATAATACAGGGGACACGAGATATTTGAAAAAATATAATTTTTAATTGCAATTACCAGTTTAAATTTAGTTAATTAAGTTTAGTTAAGTTTTAATATTTACCGTAGTTTGTCATAACTTTGAAGTTCGACTAGATGTGAAGGACACTTTATACAGGGTGTATTCACAATCAAATGACATCGATTTTGCTAAAGTTCCATAGTGGTCCGCAGGAGCACGATAGAAAAACAATGCGTCCCTCTAGGACAAGAATCCGCAAAGCGCCTTCTTTTTAAAAAAAAAGCTGATTTGCGACGAACTTGCCCTGCCCAGCGACAATTTTTCGAAAGCAATCTTGTTAGTATTTCCTAGATTAGATTACGCTAAGAGATCGCAATAAGAGCTTTGAGATTTTTTTTTAATACTTTGTCGTTCTGATTCTTGTTCATGATACAAAAGAATTAACAAATAAACAGTTTTTTCGTTGCTACAAACAGATGAATATATTTATTTACTAGCAAGTTCCATTTACGTTTTTTGCTGCCTCTTTTGCAGACCTGAATATTTGACCTTCTTTACTCCGAATTCTTGTTGCGGTTCCATTTAAATCGCACAAAAAACATGCCACTTATTCATTGTCGGAGAAAGGAGCGTAGATTGTAAATAAGTCCTTTTTTTTCGTTTACTATCTGCAATATCTTGTCCGCGTACACTTAAATGAAAAAAATGTAAAATGCGGACCGCAACATAGTACATTAAAAGCGTAAGTGTATTTTAATGGTGAAAGAATTTTATGTTGCGTCACGTCATAAAGCTTTTAGTTTGTCTATTTTTTATGTTTCTGAAATGTTTTCGCGGGGGTAAGGCCCAAAGATAAAAACGTAGTTCTAACGAATTCGTACCCATTTCGGTTGAATTATGGACAAGCATTTTCGTAGATTCCGCCATATCGCAGCTAGTATTTATGGCGTCCTCCACTTGACTAGCTCGTAACATTTTACTTCTTATCACATGCCGATGGAGCTCGTCGAGTTCTTTCATGGTCACTTCGGCGTCTTTGTAAAATTCTTCCACTCTCTGAAACACAAGCGTAAAATCGAAAATGACCGATCTATAGAGCGCGAAAGAATGCCAGCAACTGTAATCAAATTGTACACGGTGGCCCATTTATTATGGGACGCCATCATATATCAAAACCTGTAAGAAATATAAAAAAAAACTGGCAGACAAAAGTTGTTTGCATTTAGCATTTTCGTGAACAATAGAACACCCTATATATTAAGACATATTTGAATGTCTCTGAATATTTTAAACATATTTCATATATACCTTGCCGTTTTCGACAAATTTTGATTTTTTTTCAAACCGAAACCCTCCATTTTTATAATTTTATCATGTTAACATTTTCGTACAATATTACCCATTTGAAAAAATTGTAGATTTCGAGTTATTAGCAATCAAACATCTTTCCATTGTAAAATTGCTAATACGGATCTTAGTTGGCGAAAAAGATAACGGCGAAACATGTAAAAAAAACAATAGAGCACTACACACACCCACTTTTTTTTGTTGTGTGACAATTTTTTGATTAACAGAAAAGTAATTTAAATGTTAATTAAAAATCTAAGAATGGTACAAACTTCATCAAAAATATTTTGACCTTTGCTGAAAAGTAGCCGGTCCGAAAACATAAAATAATTAAGATACTTTTATAAATAAAAATTATATATAATATAAATAATAAACTATTTTTAATGTATTTCATTTAATATTAGTATTTATTTTATTTATTTAGTAATAGCACTTTCCCAATTATCTAGTTTTTTTTTGAAAAACATTATTTACACATGAAACGATTTCTTCGTATTAAAATAACAATAGTAATAAAAAATTACTAAGTTAGCTGGCATAAAGCTGTTAAACAAGGATTTCCAAACTCACAGAGAGCAAATTTTTTTCCATGTTTCTCTATCACACCATTTTAACAATGGAAAAACATCGCTATTTTTGAAATACAAAGTCAATCTTTTTTTACAATACAAAATAACACAAAATTGTACAACAAAATGAAAAAAGTACTTTTCAAGATATTTTTCGAAACATTTTCTATGTTTATTTTTGATCACCATGTATGTATTTGCTTGTAAAAAATCAAGACAGACTATCAAACTAGGTTTATTTCTACCAGGAAATCGGCCTTACATCGACTTAAAACAAGAGTAACGATTTTTGACGATTTGTGATTCTGGTTAAAGCATCTATTCTATTTTGCAATATCAGTCTAAATAAAGAAGATAGAGGGAAAATAAAAAAAATGTTCTAGATAAAGTGCCCTCTAGTGACAGATTTGTGAAACACTCTTATTTTGTAACGATGACTTTTACTAAATCACGGCTGTGGGTAAGCTTATTCCGTAAAGAATTCAATTTAATTAATTAATTAAAAATAAATTTAAAAAAAAGAATTTTGACAAACTATAACTCGGAAACTATAACGATTTCAAATTTTTGTTGCATGAGTTACTACCATTTTTATACTACGTTGAATCTTTCCTTCAAGTTTCAGAAACTCAATTTTCGAACACCCTGTATAACAAAAGTTATCAGCAAACGGAGCTTTTCACATACAATTCAAAATATGTAAGAATTAAATATTTTCCGAATTAACAAAAAAAGATTTATTATCAGAACGTCAGCTGGGCTTCAATTAAACTGTTTTATAGCGTTGCATAATTATAAATTCTAAGGCAGAAGTTTCCTAGTACTGACGGTCAATGCCGAAACCGTAAACTCTAAGACAAGGTAATTAATGTCGCATTGACTTTCGTTTTTTTTTATATTCATATATGAGCGGATAAAATGTTTTCTCGGTAACTTTTACAGTCCGAGAGAAATAGCTTTCTGTTCTGAAAATATCGGTTGTGCTAACACTAAAATCTTCACGTAAAACGCTTATTTCAATTAAAAAAAAACTTGATCTTCACTGCATTTGAATTAGAAAGTAGGCCACCGTTAGTGTAAACTTTGATAAAATTTTCATTCTATTAGTTAAATATACAGTATTGGTTGCAAATATTACGGTTTCCGTGAACTTGAACTACAGCATGGTCCTTTTAGCTTTCGAGCTATTTGAGTTGTCTGATAACTTATCAAGTAAGGTTATGTTCTAAATATTACTACAATTAACATTTTTTTTAATAAATTTGATTTTTACATACTTATTGTGTGCAAAAACTTCAGGACACATTTGTATGAATTGCTGATTTCCTAATTGATGATTATTGTTGGCAAACCAGTCCAAAATTTTTGTTTGCAAAAATTTTGATGAATTATTGATATCCTAATTGACAATTTATTGTTGACATATATTGATATAATAATGACTTTAATTAAAACATTGATTTGCATCACAACTAACAATATAGCTAATACTAATGCGTGTGACATTAATTTAATTTAATTTTAATTTTAATCTATTCTTGTACCGATTTCTTCTCATCTTCTATTTATTATATTTAATGATTACTATTCCCATCTACTATTGCTTTCGTAGTAGTAGGCACGTTTTATTTTTCCACACTGTAAATAAATAATACGTTATCAAGGAAACAAAGCAAAATATATTTTCAATAACTGGTACGACGGCTTAAGATTTTTGGATTTTTAGGAATGAGCCAAGTGAAGTCGGCCTAAATCAATTAACCAAAAACGCAAATGGAAATTGGTTATTGGGGAGCTAAACCCACATGCCCTACCTTACTATTGCAAAACGTGGTACGGTTATAAAAAAAGTGTGGATGAGGTTACATTAAAAAAATTAAAAGTAATTATACAAGAAAATATACCTTAACCAGTGAATTTTGCTCCCAACCAACATAAATTTATACAAGACGTAATTAGTGCGCTAGCCTTTATTGTTCATTGATTTATCTTATTTATTTTCTGCATTCGTATTTCTGTCTTTTCTTGCCGTATGGGTGAGTATGTTTATATTTGGCAACTTAACATAAATTTCTCACTGAAACGCTACACTTAGTATCCCTTCCTTATCTTGCAAATGTTGACCATGTAATGTTCCCGCATATGTAATTACGCAATAAAGATAAAGTAACAAACCGTTAACGCGGGTACAGCACTCACCTGTCTGCTCTCAATCCATTTTTCATGATCGCAAATGAAATTTCCGCCGAGTTCAACAGGAAGCTGGGACTGGTCCACATACTTGTTCAGCCTTGATCTCGGTATGAAGATGACCTGAAGAACTTGTCAGTTAATTACATTACATTATAAAATAAAATGCAAAACGTGCCGCGACATATCGATTAAAACGATTTTTGTGACGGATTAATGCAGTTTGGAGATGATGGATCGCGTATTTCTGCTGCTAATTGGAACTGATTTAATTTGGTTGGTTACTTTGCTTGCTGCCTCTACCACTTGGTCGAGACACCGTTTTAAAGTGGGAATTACTTAATTATTGATCCGTATATCATTCAATAATTGTGTAATGACTGTAATTGATATGCAGTTATCTAATATCTCGTTTATTTTAGATTTAATTTGAGAATATATCATCAAATTGAACAAATCTTGAGATAAGTCTATCTGGACTGGACTGAAATACAATTATATTTCAAACTTCTGATAATAACGCAGTACTCCATTCCAATTTTAATAGTATATTATGCGACAAGTTTAATAAACCCTACTTTGGTCACGAGTTTAATTTGGTACGAGCGCGGCGAGTTACAAGAAGTATATTAACGTGTTGCATACTATAGTTTTTCTAGGACATTTAATTTTTGGCTACATTTTTGTAAAACAGTACGAATTTACACGTCCCAGGTCAGTCCGTTAATAAATTCGTGTTGTTTTGCAAATGTACAAAAAACATAATGTTCGCAGAAAAAGTATAGTCTGCAAAACGTTAATCTACTTCTTCAGCCATACGCTCCGCTGCTATCTGCCAGTGCTAAATGAAACTCGTGACTAAAATGACGTTTATCAAACTTGTCCGGAAATATACTATTTCAGCTATTTTAAGGATGTAATAAAACTAAGAACAATCTTGGTACGTACGCTCTTTTTATTCTCGCACACTGTGCATGAATAAATGGCTGTTTTTGACGGAATCTGTACGTTATCAAGGAAACAAGGAAAATAGAGAAAGTGAAACAAATCAATTTCACAGGCCTCGATGCCGTTCGTTAAACCAAAATGTTTTTCCACAACTGGTACGACGGCTTAAGATTTAATTTCAGCTCAGATATCGGATTTGCATAAGTAGAATTATTCCGACAAAATCGAAAGTGAGAACGAAATATAAAACTAGTGCTTAAAGTGATACTAATCAAAGCTACGGCTTATTAGACGCATAATGGACGAAAAGTAAATAAGTCAAAAAAATATTTGGAAACTGCGGCATTGATTTTCTTTTTGGTAAAATTTTGCTAATTTAAGAAATGTTGGTGGTAAGCAAACAAACCCGACGTTTTTGGTATTAATTCAAAAGAAAGTTACAAATGCAAAAAATGAAATTTTATTTTTGTACTTTCTATTATTTTAAAATTATGGTATTCAAAATCAGGAGAAATAGCTAAACGTGCTCGTTAACTAAATCGGCGTAGGTAGTAATATACAGCAATAAGCCCATTACGGTACTACTCGGCTATGCATGTAGACAAAGCATAAATTTATTTAAATGGTTACCGATAGCCATATGGTGTGGGTGGAATGGCAAATTGAACGACTCCAATTTTAATATAGATGTCCATTTCCGTCTCATAAGTTAGTCAGAAGTACCATTTTGGCATATAAAATTATAAGCATATGAGTTCTTATTGTGATGTTTGCATACTTGCTGGTCGTCTTGCGAAGAGGTGCAGTTTTCAACTCGTTGTTTGTCCCAAAAAGCGTCCGGTTTGATGACAATCAGCTGTTGCAGTTCATCTCTGGAGTACGTTGCCTTGACCTGCCTGATACACAATCTGGCAGTTTTCCAGACACTTTTTCTAGCGTCGACTATCGTCGTGAATCCCCTCGACTTGGTTGATGGACTGGAAGGCACGAAATTGGAAAAGTGGAAATAATGAGGGGTTTCCGAACTAACTCATGGAATTTTTAAAAAAAATATATTGTGAGATTGATTCAAGAGTTTTGCTTAAACCATTGTTGGCCTTAATTATTAAACATTGTTACACTTTATATTAGCTTAAGTTATTTGACATACATGTATATGTACAGACAGAGTTTTGTCACTTTTCGTTTAAATGTTATGGGTGATGATAAATTGAAATTCTCTTTTTATTAAAAATTAAAACCTTGAAATCATTCGTATTCGTGATGGTTTGAAAACGGAGGGCCACGATATTTTGAAATTTTCTGTTTCACTTAGACCTGCTCCTAAATAAGCGCCTGTGTATGAACCACTCTGTATGATGTCTGTATTTATATGGTTAATAATAATATTATATTTACTAGTGATATGGATCTCATACAATAGCAGACAATAAAATACATATATCAGGTTTACTGGGGAACTAATATGGATTTTTTGCATAGTCTAATTGTTAATGCGTGTAAACTTTACAATACATTGCCTATAAGTGTCAAAAAAAGAATAAATACTCCATATTTGTTAAAAAACTTAAGCTGTATATATACGTACTTTAATTGGTATTAAGTTATATTTCATGTCGGAAGATGTTTTTACGGATTTTAGGTTCTTGCAGGCAATAAACCCAGATTTTCAGTTCACCACTTTTCGAAATATATTAATTAATTCTTCTTCAAGATTAATCAAAAAAGATGTTTTGAGGTTTTGCTTTAAAATATTTAAACATTATCAAGATCTTAAATCCCATAAAAAATCTTTCTATTCAACAAAAGAGAATTTTTGAAATCTGTATATGTATTCCCGAGACCAGTGCTACCGCTAATCAATTGGATGATGAAAGCTTAAGAATACGTATTCCTTTGCAGGAGAAATAATGTAGATTAAAATACCGAGCAAGGTCGGCAATCAACAGCTACCAATTATGCATGCGTGCCTACAACGCTGTCAATTATGTCACATATATATTAACTCTGTTGAAAAAAGCGTGCTCTACACATTCTCTAATGTTATCGCGAACAAATGAGACTCGCCTTAATAAGGAATTTTTATGGTTGACATTGAAGTGCATATTCGTTAGGACTTACGGTTATCTGCGTCCATTTCGATTATATCATATATAGGGTTGGTAAACAACTATATAGTTTCTTTATTTAAAATTTCAGAGAGGTAGATGCAGTTTATCAAAAAAAAAACAACTGAAAATCGAAAATCTGAACACCAGAAATCCCAGCTTGACCATTCACCATGAGATAGCTCTTCACCAATGATCCAACTTAGCTATACACATATTTTTGAATTGTTTTCAGCTCAGCAATATTAGGCTCAGAGGTGCAACAACTTACATCGAAAGTTTATACATTTTTCGAAAAAATGGAACAATATATGTGTTTTTGAACTAAAAGCACTTCGAATTTCCTTTGTCCATAAAGCATGAAATTATAGTTTAGGAGATGATTGCTTTGGATGTCATAAGCACTAGAATCGTCTGCCTACTAAATGTACCCTAATTACCTGAATATTGAAAGCAGATATTGTAGCGGGGAAACTATATCTACTATAGAAGCTTCTTGGGGTACGGTGACTAGTATAATAGGTCGGTCTTCCTTATCTTTACAACCCGGAAGTGTGACTCTGGTGGTTCCCTGCAACGTGGACAGGTCTGGATGTATTTCCATTACCTGCAAATCAAGTAGAGCTTTTACGTGAGGTGTAGCAGATTTTAAAACACCACTTAGTCTGACATGGCAAGGTTAATAATTAAAAAAAAAACTGTAATTTCTTAACCGTTTTAAATCGATTAATTTTAATGATAAAATGTACAAAAAAAAAAAGAAATAAATTAATAGCCGCAGGTTTTCGCAGCGTATTAATAAATAAAGCTCATGCAGTTACGTCACAGTAATAATCACTCTTCGATCATTTAAACACTAAATTAAGAAAAATATGTGGGTGTAGCAGGGTGGGGAACGCGAATTATGGATAACTCTTTTTGGTTTATTAATTTAGCGCATGCAATCGAAATTGAAATAATTACCTTCCTGAGACTTTCATTTTATACGCAACTTCCTCTGATCGTTTTAATTGTGGTAATCTCAACTTGCAGATAAAATCTTCGGTTCTATGGCTAGGGAACACGATAAATATTGCATTTTAATGAAGACCTTTAATACTTTAATGTTGCTCATTGTTTCATTTTTAATTTTCATCTATGCAGGGAATCGAACTTTGGAGGATATATTGCGAGGAATAATGCAGATATCGAAAAATATATTTATTCGTTTATTTTGATGACGACTTGGTTATTGTTTATTCGCCCGTGACATTTTATCGCAACCTACAATTCATTATCATATTTCGTCTGTGATCGTTATTTAGAAAAGTAAATTCCTCCGTATAAATGAACTATACAGCGTCTGTGAATAATATGTTTTATCTAAAAATATTAGAAAGTGTTCTAATAAATAGAAGCTCAGTTCCGTAAATATTTACCTTGAATTCATAAATGCAATTAACATTTAGTTTGAATTGTGTGGTTCACAGAAAGATTTTTTTTTATTTATTTTATTAAGAAAATTTTGATATTTATTTATAAAAAATGCGAAATGTTGATTTGAATGTCAAGAATTAGTACCATATCATTTGATTTTTGTGCAAAAATAAGACAGAATAACAATAAAAATCTTAAATTAAACTAACCAAAACTATTCATTCTCCATCACAATAATAATCAATTACGCATTTTCTGTGATCCATATGTAAGTGCAAATACAGGACATTTATAACATCACCGTCACGTAACCTCCAGATATCTTAAGCTCTTGGTCACTAAATAATTTACAGTATTCGAAAGAGTTATTTCAGTTCTATTTTCGAAGAAATAGAAAATTGCCAAAACGAAATGGTCATTTAAAGTAATTTTATTAAAATTAAAATATTCATTATGCATCTAAGACACCTATTAGTCACCAAATAATATGCAGAATTTGAAATATAAGTTTTGGTTTTCTTATAACCTAACGATAGTGACGAATTGAAAACCATAGCACATTAACCACTTTAAATTAAAAAGAAAGTATTCCTAAGTCATATTTAAAATACAGTCTGAATTTCGAAAATTTCAGATATAAAACTTTGGGTTATGAACTTTTTCAAAAATACTATTCAGTCTAACTAAATACATTTTTTTATATTAAACTACGTCTCACCAAGAAAAAATGTTTGCACCATTAATTCCCAAAATAGCACACACGGTCGCTACGTGCGCTTATAGTGAAAGACATTCTACATCGGACGCACCTAAACACCAAGAGAACCAACTGAGGCGCGCAGTACCTTCCGCCGCCGTACCCATGGTACTGGTCCTGCCGAGCCGGTCCTTTTTCGCGCTTATTCCGGCCACAAAAGCTGCGTTGTCAAACTGCCGTACTTTTTCAAATTCATACGGTCTGTTTTGATCTGCCTTTGCCTACTAGTAAATTTATTATTCCAGATTGGAACAAAGGATTTCAAAAATTTTCCAACAAATCGTATAATATAATGTAGTATTTGTACAAATATTGTTATTCAATTACTAGTGTAAATGCCAACTCCTTAATTACTGAACGATGAGGATTCTGTTATCAGATTCTTTTAAAATGATGAGTATCGATACAAATTATTATTCATTCATTTAATGTGTTTTTAACAAAAGAAAATACTTACTCCGTTTTACAAATAATTGTTTTTAAGCTTATATTATTGTTACGGCTATTATATTTTTTCAGAGCATCTTCTTCACTTTATCTATGAGTGTCCTAGAACTCCTAGATATAACGTATATGGACTTTTGTTACATAAAATTCCGAATAGACAGATGGATAGATAGATATTTATTGCGATTTTCTATACTACATATTACTCATATATGGGTACATTAAGCACGTCACATCACATTAAAATACAGTATTTAAACAATACATTTAAAAAAATCATCTACTGAGTAGAGACACCTATCAGTTAAAAAGATCTTAATTATTTTCTTAAACACAGATAAACTATCAGTTTCTTCGAAGCAAAATACCTTGGGTTTTGTTGCCCGATATGCAGTCTAGAGAATGGAAAGTCATATCAACTATTCCATCTTGTCATGTTACTTTTGACGTCGGAACGGAATAAATATATAATGACAGAAGTTCATGATCTGAAGTTCCCTAAATAAATCCCCACATGAATGTTTACAAGTTACACGCATGAGGTAACGAATAGCACGTTTTTGTGCTAAGAAGACCCGGTATGCACCAGTGGCTAGACTTATCAATGATTGGAAAAGCCCATAGTATACCGGCATTAAAACTTCAATGGATACCGTATTTGTAATATTTTGGGTTAAGTATGAGCAGGAGCATAATTTGGGCAATATGTTGTCGATGTGATGATTCCATGTAAGTTTGTTGTCAATGTGCAGACCAAGAAACTTAGTAGCCTCCACGTTCTCTATAGAACGTCCTTCTAATTGGAGAAGAATACTGGAATCAACGCTAGTATTTTTTGTGACTATTTCCATAGCCATTCCATTATCGCGAAACCATTCATTCACCCTCGTGACCTTTGGTTCTGCGGCCCCTTTTAGATTAGCTCTGCTTTTATCTGTAACTAAAATGCTTGTGTCCTCTGCATATAGTACAAATAATGCATCTGTATTATCCTGAGGAAGATAGTTAATAAAACAATTAAAATAGGCAGGATCCTTGCGGGGTACATCGATCACAATGGCCGTGCGAACTTTTCTGCAATTTAGCAAAGTAAAGTATTAGCAAAGTAAGCAAAGTAATATCAAAAATCATGTAATTTGCTTTCACTTTTCACTATTTATAAGATTGACCTTATACGTGCTTATAATATAATAAAACGTACTTTTATTATAATACCATTACTTAAAGTCTGTTTATCATTTTTCCGTTCAAACCACAAATTCTATTCAATTCAATTTATTTCTAAAAACAGCTGGCAATGCCGCTCTTTTCCGTAGAGAGTGTGTCACATCAGACACGGATTTACACCTATACGGGGTCAGCCGCGATTTCGTATACAATCCATTTCCCTGTCAGATTGATCATCCGGCAAGATGCGATCTGCTGCAGAATCTGCATATGGCAACGAAGTAGGTTACGAGAAGCATAAAGGAGGGGATCGAGAAAGGCTACTTTAAATAGAGACGGTACTCCTAAACTAACAATTTCCAAAATGCCTCGCTCAGTACTTTCAGCCCTTTTTTAATAAATACAAAATTACTGGTGATTGTTACATTTACCATTCACCATCATTCACAATCTTTGTTTGTTGTTATATTCTTTCTTTGCTTCCCTGAACCAAGTTGCAAAAATATTCAATAAATGAAGAATTTTTTGACCTAATCAAAAGTGCTTTTCAGAAGTGAGAAAATAAAGCAAAAACAATTCTTTACTGAAGAAGTGTTTTTTTTTGTTGAGCCAGGAAATATATATATTTTTTAATTTTTCCTTAATTAACAGAAGTCTACCATATTTTTTGTTAAACAAATTAACGTGCTTATCTGAAACAATAAATGTATTATTATTATTATTATGGTTACCATTATTAGGAAATTAATGTGCAGGTGATGTGTGCAAGTGACAAAATTTTTATTTAAATAAATTTTGTGGAGAAATAATAATGTTCAAATGTAATATTAGAACTTTAAAAACAGTACCATTTATTATTTTAATTGAGGCTAACCATAAACCGTAAAGAAATATTTGAGTTAGTCTTTGAGAACAGTGCCTCGAGGGGCAGTACATTAGAAACGATTAAATGAAATAAAAAGAAACACAAGCAGATCAACAGGATAATTAGATGATGCGATAATTCGCTGAAAAATTCATTAACGCTCACCTTAAAAAGTTATTCGAAGGTAACGATGTTAAGGTACCGTATGGTGTCACCTCGGGCTATTAGTTCTTCTTTAAGAACCAACGAGTCGTTCCGTTCATCTTTAGCGAGTAACCGGGAACCTGTTTTAAATGATTATGAAAAAAGCGCGTCGAATATTTGATTCAAAACAAATAATGCTCGGTTTCCCGTTATGACTGGTTCCTTAACTTTCGATAAGTTCGATTATTCAGCGGTACCCGTTTATTTATTTTATTTAATTATACTGCTCAACATGATCGAACTCACTTGAACGAACGCAAGAGAAAGAAGAACATGAAGGAGATTGTTCAGTATTAAAGCATCACACAAACTAGGTGTATAACAATAAAAAAATAAAAATTATAATACTTTCAATTAATTAGGCCCATAGCCATATTCCCAATACTGTCACCGAATCCACAAGTTTTATAAGTATAATTTTTTGTAAGTATAACTAAATCTGAAAATGAAACAATTATAATAATTAAATTAACCCTAAATTTAATCTTAGAGTACTATTGTAAATATTGCAATAATTATTTACTAGAAAAACAGATTTGGCACTAGTTGTAAGACCAGGTATTTGGTTATTATAGCAATATCCCCTGAATTATTATGAAAATCCGAAGGAAATATAAATAGTTTTGATTATACTATGGAAGACGTACTTAGTTTCTCATTAAAATGTGATCTACATTTATACATAGTTAGAATCATGATAAACCCGGTTTCTTTCATTTTCTCTAGGTAATTTTCCTCACATTTTATAATTCTATATCAACAATTTTTATTTCAACCTTCTACTTAGTTTTGCAAATATTTATCTTTGTGGCCCGCCATAACCCGTCGAGAGCTTATTACTAATTATATCACCTAACTTAGCATACTGACGTTTTTTAAATAATCGATTAATTTTTGGAAGCTGCCTGTGAAACCCGCGGCACACAACCCCATTAAGATTTCATCGATCCTAACTAAGTCATACGCATTTTTTAAATCCACAAATATCGGAATCAGAAATGTCATTATCATCCAGGTGTAGTCGATCTCGTAACGGTTTTCTAGTCAAAATAAATGATGCAGAAAATTACACATAAAATAATATAAAGCGTACATTTTGTTTTTGCACTGTGATCCATTTGTAAAATCATTATTTGTTTAGTAGATTTCTGGCCAAAAAAAAATCTGGATAAGTTCTTTAACAGGCGCTTTCTACAGTTCATCAACAAGTACCAGTTTTTGTGAAAGGCAATTAACCTACATACAAGAAGCTTCGACAAGCCTCACCGACCATTTTATAGGGCAATCTTATCGAGAGAATGACATCAAAACTTCATTTCACTGAATGTTCGGCAAAATTCGATTCAGCTATATAACTATCAGCGCAGAATTTAAATTGCTTTGGATTTTTATTGTTTTTTTTTTAATAGGAGCTAGCAAGAAATTGCATTTCCCAATAAAAAAAAGGGACCAATAGAACATATATTTTCAACGAATAAAGACGTATTTCTAGAATATTTTATTGTCCCCATAGCACCAGGCATATTAATCACAACAGGGTTGTTAAAGACAGAACAGAACTGCTTTCCAAATTTTTGCATTTGTGCCTGACTAGAGCAGCAGTTTCCTGCTGTTTCATGCTAACTAACCAAAACTCTGTTTTTAAAACCAATTTCCTCGAACATTTAATAATAATAAATAATAATAATAAAATTTAAATAGTTCACAGGCTTAAGTCCCAACATTTTCAGTAAAATGTAACTACCTGGACAAAAGACGAGAAAATTTTCTTTCGCAAATACGAACGCTTTTAGTCAGCCTCAAATTTGCCAGATCTGATAGACATTTGACGTTTTTATGCATTTTCAAAAGATGTCCATGAAAAACATCTGCATGCGTAGCAACCAAACTGAGTTTGACAAAACAACAATAAAAAATCTGAAGCCTGATTCGAAAGCAAACATATTGGGGTGAGTTTGTGTTGTGTTATGATGATTACTTGTTATTTTTGATTAAATATGCCCTTTATCAGGACACAAGTGCAATATGAAACCATTAGCCATCGTACATGTTGTACTATTTTTATTGGGGAACGTTCTAACTTATCCTACGGGGATTTCCGTCGGCGATAAGGTTCATGATATAATAGACCTCATCCCGAAAGAAAGAATTAGCGAACTAGCTCAGCAACACATGCAAAATGATGAAGGTTTTAAAGCTGCAATATTCTACCTTCAAGGAAAGGAATGGAACGATCTTCTCGATGCCCTAATGCAAAAGCCCGAATTTATTAAGTTTGAAGAAATAACTAAACAGGTAAAAAAAAATGTTCAATGATATATTGTAGTCAAGGGAAAATTAGTGGTTTTCTGAGTAACTAATTTCATTAGGCATTACACAAATTTGTATATAGCTTTACACCCCAAATAAATATCAAGCAGTTTTTCGAAGTTCCTTGACCTGGCGCATGCGGCATAAATTTGATGAAAGGAATAACTATTGGAAAGTCTAAATATCTACATGTCGCCTACAACTTAACATTTTTGTTTAAAACAATATTATTTCATAAGAAAAATATCATATTTAAGACTAACGCAACGCTTTTGGAGATTTAATCATGGTGTCTGGTGGAGAATGCATCATACATTAACAGCATATTTTTTGAGTTAAAATAATTCGCTTGAACGTTATTTAGTTGGTCGAAAATGGGATGCTAAAGAGATACAGAGAAAATTAAAACTAGGTTTCTTAAGGCTGCTGTTCTTTGAGCTGAGAAAAAATAATTTGACAACAGTGATCTTTCTACAGCCCATCATAGACTTTGGATTCAATTTAAGTAGACAAAACATTGCGTGGCATCCTCAGAAATTACGTCAAACCAGTAAAACTAAACAGCTGAATCGAAATATTTTGGCTCAGAAAATACTAATGTTAACCAGACACCGTGTATTTGACTAAAATTGAGAGGACAAGAAAATTGTATCTTAAAGTACTAAACTTATCCTATTTGTAAAAAATCCTGTCAATATAAAGACATAATTTGCATTCCTATTTACAAAATTCTCTTTTTTCAGATGAACCTAAACATTACAGGTATGATTATGTGCATTAAATCCAATATATTTTCTCTCCAAGTGAACGAGGAGCCAACATCCAAACCCGACCTCACCCCGTTCATTAAAGAAGTAGAGGAGAGTCTACCTTTGGCTAAAATGATTACTACCCTTACTGCTAAGGGAAGCGATGAGGACGCCGTCCAATCAATTCAAGTTCCGTTCGATTATGAACTTTTCCAGAAGATCTTGGACGATTTGCTGAACGTAAGCGAAATGAAGACAATGCTGGACAAAATCAAGGAAATGGGTTTCGATTTGAAGCAATATATTGGTTTTGTACATGCTTTCTTCGAGTGGGTGCTCAATTAACGTCCTTTAGGTGTGTTATTAGGAGTATCTACCTTCCTAAGTGAATTTAGTTGCTGTTATATTAGAATTAGTTTTAATTATTTTGTTAACCTTGTTGAAATGAAAATGTTTTGCATTTGTACCGTTTAATATTATTGGAAGATGATTTCCTTTCAAAAATTCATCTAGACTGTTTGTTTGGAACTCAAGAGAGTTTTTATGTACTTGGTGCACATATCCACCGATGTTTATAAGCGTACAGCAATAGAAAATACTGAATATTTTTTTCAAGGCGAAACCTCTATCTTCAAGGTCAAATCACTCCTAACTGTCGTAACAATTGAAGTTATTAAAATAATCAATTTGGACAATTATCAATTTTTTGGGCAATTTAATTTCGTGTAATAGAATAAAGAAAACCAATACGTAGTTTTGATTAGTTTCTGGATAACGTTGAAGCGCACCAAGTGTCAGTGTACAGGGCTGTTCCTAGAATTTATTCGTTGAAAAAATTGAATAACATTGCTTTCGAATATTTTTATATATTTCAATATCTCTCGCACCATCCAAAAAATTTGAAGGTTTCTGATCTCTGTTGAAAGGGCATTTAAAGGTGACTTTTTGAATTATTTTCTTAATATGCAGGCTGTCTCGAAAGTGCGAAGAGCCAGGCTAAAAATGATAAAGCTGCACCTATTTTTTAAATCGAATCTGCGTCATACCGTAGCATTGTCGGATCCTCCTATCTTATAAAGTCTATTCATAGATATAAGAAAGTGACTAACTGATACGAATTAAGGAAGACCCGGGCAAGCTGTAAGAATGAAATATGGCCGAAAAGGTCCATACTTTGCTTAGAATTTAATTGATTGGGGGTTTCGTCAGGAAAGATACTAAATAATATTTATTTATTTATGTATGTATTTATGTTTAAATCTAAAATAAAATTACAAATTATTTTTATTACCTACTTAGATTACTTAAAATTATTCACATAATATATCAGTATCGCTATCGCTATCATCGCCTGTTCTAATTATTATTTGTTCTATATTATTTGCAATATGGATATACGATTGTTCTGCTTTTTCTATATGTTTAACAGCACAACAACTTTGTGGAGGGATGTTAAAAACTTCGGTTTCTATAAGTTTGAGGACATCGAAGTTAACACGGGGAAAAACATTGTTACGACGAATGGCAGATTTCAGTTGGTGCCAAACATGTTGACTGGGATTAAATACACAGTGGTAAGGTGGAAGGAAGCCTTAAAACTGTATGCCCTAGATTTTTTGCATAATTATCATCCTTTTGTAGGTTCAAGCTTTGTAGAACCTCAATTAATTGCCTTTTGGTATAATCTTCGTTATTATACATGTAGTTTTGGATTGTTGCATTTGTGTCACATGAGGAAGAGGTTTTAGTGAACTGTCTACTGTGATAACTTGCATTGTCCATTACAATGACGCTATTAGGAGAAATGTTTGGAATTAGTTTGTTTTTAAACCAACTTTGAAATAAATCAGCGGTGGTGTCTTCATGGTACTCCAGAGAAGAATCTTTAATATTTTTCGCAGACAGAGAAAGTCCATTTGGAATCCAACCATCTTTAGAGCCAGCATGCAAAATAGTTATTCTTTTACATCTTTTTGATGGCGCGTTTGTTTTGAGTCAACCCAACCCTTTTCCGGGGTTTCATAAGTGTCGAACCAGGTTTCATCCAAGTAAATAATTGGCCTTTGTTGTTCTCAGTAAATCCTAATTTTTTCTAGATATTCCAGTCGCCATTTCCGAATTCTAAAAGATTCTATTAAAACTTGCCTTTTGTCAATTTTTTTAAATCTAAAACCGATGTGTTGAATACACTTCCATAAGGTAGTTCTGCCACATTTAACACCGGTTTTATCTTTTTCAAGCCTCCTAATTAAGATATCTAATGTAGGCACGCTTGGTTCCTCGTATAACTGGTAAGTTTTAAGCCGTATTATATCTTGATCACTTTCATCTACACTCGAGGAAATGTCAGCATCGCCTTTTTTTTCCTCGCTGAAATGGGATTATTCACAATTTTCCCTAACAGTTGATGTTGGAATTTTCGTCAATGTGGCCGTCTCTCCTAAAGATGATTGCTTGCTGGCACCACGTTCAATGAGAGTCAAATAAACATTGTTTATAACTTCCTTAGTCTTAGTGTTTTCTACATTTGGGCGGGAGCATCTCCTGAGATACACTAGACTCGCACATATTTTGCATAATTCGCACACGATTCAACACATGTTGTGTTACACACGAAATAAGAATGATTACTAATAAACTTAAACTAAGTAGTATACCAAACCAAACAATATTAAACACAGGTAGGTATAAAATTATTTTTTATTACAGACCACAATTTTCCCTGAATGTAAATTTCGAAACTTTAGGTAAATATTAATAATAATCTTGGATAATCCCATTCAAAAGCAATTGCTCACTTTCTTATATCTATGAACAGACCATACCCAGCTTTAATAATAAACTTTCCGTCTCATAAAGTACAAAATTTAATTTAATATAATAAGTTCTAGGAGCGATGCAATATTTTTTAAACTTTTTCATTACCGATCGAATTATATTAGGATTAGAATTTTTATGGGTTGCTGTTGTCTATTTCAGGTAATGTGAGTTTGGTCTGGTTTCGCTGTAGAGCATGTTTTAGATGTTAGATGACGTGTAAATTTAAACATTGTGTTCACATTCTGTCACAAAACTTGAGAATGTCATTCTTCATTTAAATTGTTTTACAACGAATTAAATTGGTTAATCAAATTATCATATTCTAATTTGCTTAGAACTCAAACCCGGTGCGGTGATATAAGTTTTGCTCCATCGCCAATGTTCTAATATTTTTCTACGCTTTGGTCCAGCTGGTTTCTTCAGACGAGCAGGAACTTCACTCATTAAAAAAAAAATGACGCTGACGTTTTCTATTCCTCTCCACCCAACATACAAATAGAAATTGGAAGGGATTATAATGTGATAATTAAGCAAAAATTCTATTCATCGGTGCGCGCATTATTTTAAATCTATTTTGAGCGCGACTCTCCCATTCAATTCCCAGCAATATTCGGATCTCCCGCCGAAACTTTTATCCCGATCGTCGTCAGTGGATTTTCTAATTTTAACCGGCCATCAACCAGGTTGGTTTTCTCGAACCGCTGCCATGGTTTGACATGGGGAATACGCAGGCCAAACCTCATCCAAGGAGCAGAAACAAAAAACAAGTCCACTGGAAAGCAGCAGGTAAATAATTTTGTCCTAGTTTGAAGGCTCGATTGGCGATCCGCAATTTGCTGTTAGAAGTGTGCTTGTGTTATGTATTATAAAAGGCGACGAAATAGTGGCTATTTTTGGAGACGCTGTAATTTGTCGTGTTCGTTTATATTTTTATCTTCCAAGTTGGATTAGACGGTAGCAGTAATGCGAGAATTAAGATCGGTTTTCCAGAATAATGAAAAGTATCCCAAAAGGTACTCTGTTCACTGATTTACGAGCTAATAAAAAAAAACAAATATATAGTTTATTTATATAAGATTGGTTAACAACGTTGGCAACCGATCAATTCAATGTGCAAATGTCTTCGTAAAAATAATTATTTTATTTAGTTTGCCGGAAATTTGTCAGTTAGATGCAGCTTCCGCCCGGCACTTTTGAAAACTGACATATTTGCAGTAATCAACACATACTTTTTACAAAACTGTTTTTCTTCTTGAGAGCTTGACTCAAAATGGTTCGTATTTTACTCTGTACCTGCTTATATATTGCTTGAGGGGGGCGGAGCTAAATGAGGAGCATAAACACAGTCTCGAATGACTGATTCTCATATTGATGACAGGTGATAATCTAATAAGCCAACCGGATGATTGGCGAAACTTCAGCAAGTTCGACTCAGCAAAACCCGACGCAGGAGGAATCCAGAAGTTTCACAGTAGCCTGTGCAAGTTTCTTTGAAAAATTAATAATCAACACAGTATATTTTAGATTTAGATAGAAATTTCGACAATTTTCGATACAGAAAGACAATTTGTTGTGGCAATTATGTGGCCCAAAATAACACTTTTCTTACATATCCGATTTTGAAGGTTACTTACTTCAGAAAGGCCCATTTTCTTGCATTTGAGGAAAAAGATCAATATAATTTAGTTTGCAATTTCAATAGGAATTGCAAGTAAACAAGCACTTGTACAACTTTAAACTTGAATTCAATATAAAGTTGACGACAAAGAAAACGAGGAAAATATTTCCATTCATTCTTGTTTTCTTTAACCGTGGCTAAATTATGGAAGTAAAGTGATTTCTGAAAAGAAGTGTGACGCAAGTTGCACATTGGGTAGCGAATAGAAAATAGAAAGAAATTTTTTTCTTATGGCAACCTTTCGTGTCAGCATTGCAACTGAATTCAGATTCAAAAAACTTTACTTTTCCTTATTATTAAAGCGTTCCTTCTACGTTAACTGAAATAATCTTTCCAATGTATACCTCTAATTACTTTTTCACGTTTTTTGAGGCTCTGTAAAGGGTCAATATGGCCACTAAACGTTGTCGTAAGAAAAAATTTAGATTGTTTTCTCTACTCACAACCAAAAATTACACTTTGCCCCATATGTTTGCTTTCATGTACCTAAAGAATTACTTCAAAAACTATTTGTCTATTTCTTCAATTCTACAAATCACTTTTTCAAGTTAAAATTGTAACGTCTCCTAAATGGAAAAATGCATATGATGTAAAGTGTCATGCATACATGTCATCATAACATACATAAAATACATGATTTGGTTTTGTTTTATGATTTCAATTTCTTAAAGCCTGTCATCTAGAACTAAATAAACTTATAGTATGTAGTGATGTCCGTACTTATTCAAATTTTTAATATTTTTTATTAACTTTTGTTAAGCGTTGACTAATTTTAATAGTATCAAAACGGCAATTTTTCAATTTCATCCACATTCTTAAAAGAAGAAGCAGTCTAATATATTTGCATCGTTTAATAATAATAATAATTTTTCCTTAAAACTCCAAAGTATATGCTGCTTATGCCATACTTTACTTACTTCTATATACCAACCATGATTTAAATAAAATAAACAGTTCTATTACAAATAAATTTTATTACTTTTGCATCTGAAAGTTTAATTAAAACAGAAGAATAAATTTTGGTAGGTACAATATATTGTTTGTAACTAGGTTTTCCGCTGAATTTTTGTATATTAATCTGTTTGATTTACATATATTTTTTGTTATACTTATTTCAGTGTGGCATAGTGTACTGTTTATGCTTGCAAATAATGATACGCAAACCAATCTTTGATGAAAAGGAATTTGAATCGAATTAATATCTTCCGCTTTCTATTCCACATTTCCAAAAAAAGTTCAGAAGGATAATTTTATCAAATGTAATCTACCTTCTATACTAATCTTTTGGCAATGTATTAAATTTAAGCATATGATTTCTATTAAGCTCCGAGCTATTTTGGTATTTTGAAGCAACCATTGTTTGCCTAAACGTTCTAAGAATTGATCGTAAATTTTTGTTGTTAACATAAATACTTTCGCGTTTTAATTGTTTTCAAATACGTTTAAGAAATATGCCAAACATAACTGTATCGTGAATAACAAAAATTTACTCCTTTATGTTCGTCATTAATATTTTTTTCTAATGTCGTGTTTTTTCAACAGGTAATAATGCATTTACCCCGTGCTTTGGAAAAGTAAATAGCTTTGATTTAGGTTTGTAAACAAATCAGTACGGAGCATACATAAATTCTTCTTTTGTTAAATATACAGGGTGAATTAAGTATCAGAAATTTACGAAAACCTTATACCTTAACTACTTAATCAGTCTGAATTAATCGACATTAATGTCAGCACAAAATGATACTGAAAAAACAATACAGATATTTTCCTAAATTTACAAAACAACATTTAAATATAAGTTTAGGTTTTTGATTTTTTTCATCATATTTCGAAAATTGTCTTGAATTTCTTAATGAAATATTATGGGGATCGACGCTACACAACGTTTTTTACGATTTTGACCGTTCTGGATGTCTCACTGGTACCCACTGGTAAGTCGAATTTTAAAAGTGGACGACTCTATCACTGGTTCGTGATAGTTAAGGTTGTACTGTGTTATAAAATCGTATGACATTTACGTTATTTGGAGATTCCGCGGTAGTTCTTAGTCACCCTATATATCGCACAAAACTTACATTTATTAATTCGCATGATAAATCCGTATAGCGGTAAAGTTAATAATGCGACTTGTGCATTTATTTACAATACTAATGTTAAACCAATAATTTTTTCACGAAATATACTCCCGAAGGAAGGCGAAGTCTAATATATAATAAATAACACAATGCTCATGAAATGTTTACTCTCTTTAGATGACCGAAAACTGAAACTTTTTATGTTCCAAGTGGCCAGGTTTTTTCATCCCAAGTCTTCATGACAGTTACATTTCGAGATAGGGCCTAGTGTCCTTAATTGGGTACCTGGTACAATTTTTGCAGTAAAATGCATAGTTTGTAGTGAAACGGACGTAAATGAGAACCGGAAGATGAACTAGAAATGAAATTTTAATGAGAGAGTCTTGACGGTAAAGTACATATTACCATCAAGACTCTCTCATTAAAATTTCATTTCTAGTTCATCTTTCGGTCCTCATTTACGTCCGTTTCACTGCAAACTATAGTCATTCAATTTACTGCAAAAATTTGGAACTGTTTAGATCTTGATTAGAAAAAGAAAAGGAATGTATTAACACAAAAGCCAACCATTTTTATACAATTAGGGAAGGTACTGATGGGTATTTTGCGATTTGACTGTACCGAAAAAGAAATTTTAATATATCCACTAAAAAACGGCCAAAATATCAGTAATGTATGTTGTATGAAGTTGTATATTTGTTCTTCAATCAAAAATGGAAGAGAAGAACAATGCTTCCTTATTAGGGCCCGTAGATACATGTCTAAAAAGCAGTAACAAATTGATTTTGTCACAATCTGGTAATACCGCCCATATTTTGCTGACTACAAATCAACGCCTCTTTCTCTGGTGTTCGTTTGCTCGATTCTTTCCATCGTTCCTTTCTTTCAAGATTTGGTTTTTTCGTCACACACAATTGAACATTAACACCCATTTTGCTCTAACTCATTTTGCATTTTAAAATTGCTATACTTTTTAGGTGGAACTTAATATATACAGTGTGTCCCACTTAAGCACCATACACCCTTGTGAAATCTTTGTTATGGATCGATTTTGATTTTTTTTTGTTGGGTAGATCTCTGAAAAATGCACTAAAACCTTGGTTTGCTTTTTGCTTCAACTTAAAGTCATGTCCAAGTGGGACAATTTAACAAAAGAGAGAGAAGATAGAAGTACTATTAGGGATTTTTAAAACAATAAATTGACAACAAATTCTTATTCAGGAGTACTTAGAACCCAACTATAGTAATTTTTATAATGTTTCAATGTTTCAACGAATTTTTATTCAGGACTACATAAACATTATTCCTGTAAAATGTTTGTTTATGAGTCAATTTTGATAATTCTTTTTGCTGGGTGGATCTCACTAAAGAGAAATGAAACGGTTTCTTCATATAGCATCGACTCAAGTTGGCTAACTGAGATTTTGAAACTGAAAATCGAGAAGTACTTTTAGAGACTTTTTGAAATTGAAAGTGGCAACAGATTTATATTCAAGACTACCTAAAAGCAACTAGACCAATGAATGTTTTTAATGTTTGAAAAAATATTGTAAATGTTGTAAATAGCGATTACTTTGTATGTTGTTTTATGATCTTACAAATTTTAATTATACAAATTTCAAAAATAAAGATAAAAAGACTTTTTAAGGGATACTCATTTTAGTACCACCTTAAAACAACAGTATTATTAGTATTCGCAAGGTATAATGTAAACGAAATTAAAATATAAATTAGCTAGTAAGCTTGACAGTCGAATATTCGCTTTTCCATGGCAAACTTGGTTTTACATAGGTATACCGATGTCAATCAATTTTGATATTTCTGTTATTTTCATTATGAGATGAGAATTAAAAATCATTTTTAATTAAAAAGATACACCATCATCATAAATCATATTTAATTTTAAGATAATCGTTAGTGTCAAAATTATCAAAATTGAGCAATAAAAAAAACATTCTATTTCGAGTACCTTGTATTCGAACTTCATGGAAATTAGTTCGGTTTTATGTAGCTCTGGATAAAAATTCTTTGATAGTTTATTCTTAAAGAATTTCGTAATAGCAGTTCTCGACACTTGACATAAAAAATTAGTCCCAGTTAGTCTTCAGGTTAATGTAACAAGAAACATGAGCTTTTAGTGCTAAAAAAATATATATATATCAAAATCAAACCGTAATCAAAGATTATACAACGATGTACAGCCTTAAGCTGGTTGTAAATGATATTTGAAACACCCTGTATTGAAACATTATAAAAATTAGTATAGTTGAGTTTTAATTACTCCTGAATAAAAATTCATTGGCAATTTATTTTTGAATATCCCTAATAGTACTTCTCTCTTTTCTCTCTTTTGTTAAATAGTGTCAGTTGGCAATGACTTTAAGTTGAAGCAACAAGCAAAACAAAGTTTTAGTTCATTTTTCAGAGACCTACGCAACAAAAAAAAATTGTCAAAATCGAACCATAAATAAAGATTTTACAACGGTGTACAGTCTTAAGTCGGACACGCTGTACTATTATGATATAAATCTCCCTAAATCTGCGATATGGGCTCTAATTTACGGAGGTGTTCGTTTTCTCTCGTGTTTAGTTTGCTTGATTCTTCCTATCGTTCCCTTCTTTCATGATTTGGGTTTTCTTTCACACTCACACTTAAAGCTTAACAACAATTTCACTCTAACTCAACAACTCTTGCGTGCGAGAACATTAAGCTGCTCTCTTTTCCAGATCGACCTGCGCCTCCAGGCAAACCGCAGCTGATATCCGATGCCGAAACACTCCCCGACTTGATAACTATCCGTTGGGGCCGGCCACCCAACGATGGAGGCTCGCCAATATCTAGCTATCTGGTGGAACACCGACGAGTCGGTTCCCCGCACTGGGTACGGGCAACTCCCTTGCCGGTTCTATTTCCAGAACTTACGCTAAGCGGGTTAGAACCTGGATGGAGGTACCAGTTCAGGGTGCGAGCTGAAAACGCGGTGGGGTATTCGGATCCAGGCGAGGTATCCGACGCGATCACCGTCACCCTGCAGAGATCCGCAGTGACCGCTCCGAAGTTCACCCAAGAGGTCCAAGACACGGTGGCTCTCGAGAACGACAAATGCGAATTTGTGGTCCATTTCATGAGCCAGCCGGCACCAAGGATATGTTGGTTCAAGGACGGGTTCGAAATATTCAGCAGCAGACGAATACGAATCTTGACCGAAAACGATCGAAGCGTTTTGACGATTCACCAGACGTCGTTGTCCGACGAAGGTGAAATCAAATGCACGGCTACCAATAAAGCCGGACACGTGTCCACTAAGGCGAAATTAACCGTCGAAGCGCCGCCCAGTATAAGACTGCCGCGGCAGTACGAAGAAGGGTTGCTTTTCGAGATAGGAGAGATAATAAGGCTCAAAGTTTCGGTGGTGGGTCGCCCTGTACCGTTGGCCTTTTGGACGCATAACGGCGAATCGATTCACAGCGACGATCGCTACGAAATAGAGTACGCGGACAGATCATTTTCTTTGAAAATTGCGGACGCTTCGCGCTCAGATAGGGGTGAATACCAAGTAAAAGCTGTCAATAAGCTTGGTGAAAATACCGCGTCGTTTTTGGTGACGGTGACCGATAAGCCGTCGCGGCCGGGTAGAGCTCGGGTAGTGATGACGCTGGGCAAGTCGGTGACTCTCTCCTGGACCATGCCAGAGGACGACGGTGGTTGCAAAATAGGAAACTACATAGTGGAGTATTACAGACTTGGTTGGGATGTGTGGTTGAAAGCTGCAACCTGCCGACAGCTCACTACCATTCTTGGAGATCTCATCGAAGGTAGTGAGTACAAATTCAGAATCAAAGCCGAGAGTCCTTACGGTATAAGCGAGCCCAGCGAGGAGTCCGACACCGTCTTCATTCCGGACCCGAAAAGAGGTATGGTCCATCCTCCGTTAAGAGGGCGCAGTCAGCCAAAGGACGTTACCACCAGTGTTAGCACCCCCGTCGCTGCAAAGAGAACTCGGAAGAGATCGCAGTCATCTTCGAGAACGGAGCTTTCGGAATCACCACCGGAAGTACCTGTTCGCCCGGAACGCTACAAAATTAAGAGCCCACCTAAAACTCCTGAAATGTCACCCATGCTTCCGCGTAAGGACAATTCGCAGATAAACAGAACCATAATCGATAGGGCTTCAATCGCGAGGGAGTTGGCGTATGGAAGTCCGGAAATCAGAGTAAAAAAAGAATCAGTATCGCCGCAACCAAATATCAGCAAGTCAACCACACCAAGTCAGGATCGTAAGATCGATAATGCGGACCATAAAATATACAAAGTAAAAATTGAGCCTCCAATGGACGAATCCAAACCCGAGTTACCCCCGAAGCAGAAGTCTCCAAGTCCGGAGCCGAAAAAGAAGTTAATCAGAGAACATAGCGCCACCGTATCCGGAAGTTCAGAGTTCATGCTTGTGTTGTACTCCGATGAAAATGAAAAAGGTATAATCATTGAGTATTATTAGAGATTTCCTCAATCAAAACTTGCATCAGCATGATTAATTCGTGGTCTATTCCTTAACAAAAAAAAATCTTACTCTTAGCTGCAGAGTGGAGAGAGTACAAAACACAGGCTACGGAAATATAGTTCTTAAGTTACCTACATGCATTTTTGAAAATGTTTTTATCAATTTATCAATCAAAGTATTTTATCAATATCAGGATAGAGTAACGTGAACTTTTACTACTAACTACTAAAAAATGAGTAAAATCATAATACTAGACCTTATTTTATATAATGCTCTAGGGACGGTAAATTTGTTCATTTCAATCTTAACCTATTATATGTGATTAGTTTCTGTTTAACATCAAGAGCAAATGATATGAACAGTTTATCTACTGTTAACGTTTTAATAACTTGGCTACAGGAATGAGCTTTCAGAGCATTTTATTTAGCATGTCATTTATTGCAAAATTTTGCAGTAATACTGCTAAGCATATTTTTTAAGAAAAACGAGGGAAATTCCCAGTGGGGATTATATTGCATTGCGATATTGAGATATTTAACATTTTGTTAACCCTGCACTGATAGACTTTTAAAGTTTCCTTTGTCTAAGATTCTGAGACGTTAACAGTATTTTATTAATAGGGGTAAATTTGACAACACTGCTGTTAGAATTTTTTAATTCTGCATGTTCAAAAACCCCCCAAGTATTGAATTTTGTCGTTCCAGCTTTAGCGTTGCAGATATTTAAACATATCGGTACTTTTTACTAACCCGCTATAGCCAAAATCATATTTTAATATATAATCGGTTTCATAATAATCTTATTCTACAGCTACAGCTACCGCTCAAAAGATTATTTTATTATAGCAGTATCAATATCCAGAAATTTGGTATAATTTGGTTTGATTTGATACCCCCTCGGCATAAGTCATTTTATTTTTTATTTTTTTACCAATTAAAATAAAAATATTAATTCTGATTCACCGAAAAAGCACTGGCGTGAATATTTTTATTCATATTCTCTACGGTTGCTAATTCATGATAAATTAGTGAAGAGAAAACAAAACACTTTCTCTACTTTATACTCTAAAATATTTGAATTATGCACCATACCATGACGTGGCGTTTCTCAAACTACTTACAAAATGTACTATTGTTCTTACAATTTCAAACAACAAAATCTTCATTTACTATAAGTTTCCTATAAGTTTTCCCTTAATTCATCCTCTACGTACACAAATATTTTTTACCACTTAGGTTTTTTCAGGTCAATCGGATATGTTCAATTTTGACGAAAACTGCGTACCTCCGCCTCTGTCTTTGTCTGCTCCGGAGCTGGGAGCCGATCCTCCTCAATTGTACCCTATCAAAAATTCGGCCAGCTCTACTGAACTGCTACATACCCGAGCGATGATGAGGTTCTATCAAGCTGCAGAAGCGGAAGACGCGGAACTGACGAAAATTCCTAAGGCCGGCGAAAGGCGAAAACTTAGTCTAGACATACCCAGGATTCAAATTAACTCCAAGGACGAAGAAGAAATCGTAGGACTGGAAAGGAAATATGCTGTCCGACGAAAGTCGTCCACCGGTTCGTTGGGTCAGCAGCACGCTCTCTGGGCGCAAAGGAGGCACAGTTTAAAGAGCTCCACCGAATTAAAAGAAAATTCTATTCAGAGTAATTTAAAACACTCCCCAAATACGCAGCTGTCTAGTTCACGTGAGTTGGAGGAAGAACAGTTCGAGAAAATTAGGCAAAAAACGAAATTAGAATCCCAAGCTAGTTTCGAGAAGAAAGCCGTCACCATAGCCGAGGAGGCGAGGTGGATGGAGGAATACGAGGAGAGTCTTTCGGAGTCCTCGGCCGAATCGACGGACTCTGAAACTGAGAGGTTCAAATTTAACGTCATGACTTCGAAAAGAATACCGCAAGACGAGGGATTTGAAGACGAAGACGATACGTATCATCCCAGCGGGTCCATACGAACTCTAAAGAAAAAAGATAGCGAACCTTTCCAGATACTAACCAAGCGGAAGGAGCCTCCGGATCCGAGTTTTGTACCCAAGCCGATTCTTAAAAAAGCCGATTACGACGTTTCACCTTTGGTCTCGCCTTCTGTGTCCCCACCGACATCGCCGGTAAAAGTGGCAAGATCGCTGTCGCCCAGGCCCGACATCGTTCTCCAAAGAAACCGATCGAAATCGTTGGCAATTCCCGTTTTGTCGCCACTGTCCTCGTCCAATGAGGAAATTAACGAAATTCCCTACAAAAGAGGCCGGTCTCTTTCGCTGACCACAAATAAATTACCCGAACAGAAAGACTTTCCCAAGCCCCAAAAGAAAACGTCATCCGCGTTACTATCAAGTATATCAAAAGTGGCGGAGATATCCGGAATTACCGCCGCTAGCATAGTAATACCAGAAAAATTGCTAGAAAGAAGAAAGGACGCAGAGGAAGCGAAGGTAGTGGCTGACCACTATGGAGACATCGTTAGGAATTATGGTCAGAGACGGAAGAGTAGTCCGCAGATCTATCTGAATAGGGACGATTTGAAGAAGGCTGCGGCGAATTTGGAGACACCGCAAGAGGAGGAGCTGAGTAGTAAGGAAGAACCTTCTTCAAAGGAAAACTTGAGCAACGACAGCGGCTATCAGAGCGGGTACAAGATGACCAATTTTACCGACCATTTTAGGCCACCTACGAATGCAGGAGCGGCCAGTGTAATCCAAAAGCCAGTGACCCAGACTAACCACGAAGCGGAGGAAATGGTATCAAGAGGTGAACAAACGCAAATCCAAGAAACAAGTACAAGAGGTTCTATCCAACTAACCATCGAAAATAGCAGCAAGGGTAGAAAGAGTTCACCTTCACCGCTAGGTCGAAGGGCAGTGACACGATCCAAATCGCCATCGAAAAGGTCCACAAGCGTAACTCGGAAACCCTTTTCAACTCCTGCGGCGGCAAATCCTCTCGAGACTATGAAAAAATCGCGAAAAACATCTCCGTCGCCGAGGCGAAAAATCATTTTAAGTCCAAGCAGCTCTGAATCGCCGTCACCAACATTGTTTAGCCGTAAACCTAAGCTAAAAGAGATAATGACCCAAACATCAGTAGGTCTCGAGTCTTCTTCTGCTGCAATAGACAATACGGATGACAAAATAAGGCGTGACGTACTTATGGCGAAAGCTGAGGTTAAAGTTAGGGGTTTGGTGGATTATCTGACGGATCTAGCAATGCTAGCCGTTGCGTGTTGGTTATATTTTTATAAAAACGAGTTGTTGGCGATCCCGGTGCTACTTATTATGATGTACAGACAGTTGAAATGTGAAATAGGTAAAAGGATTCCCAATTGGCTGACGAAGAGATTGAAGAAAAAACAAACGGAAAGCGGCACTTAATGAACACCACTATTTTGATATTTCTTTTAACTATTTTACTTAATATGAAGCACTAGTTTTTGGGCTGAACGGATTTTCACAAGTCTCGGTCTCCGTCACAGAGTTATTTTTGTCGTAGTATTAAAACAATAGATTTTTTTGGTAGCTGTAGCCTGAATGATTACCATGCGTGAGACCCGATTCTGACGTAATCTAATCTTTAACGTTATTTGAAATCTATGATTTCCTTAGAATTAAAAATTGTGTAAATATATTTATGTATACGATGCACGTTTCCTAATAAAATAAATGTGAAATAAGAAGTGCCTTTTTGGTGAGTCCAATTACATCCTTATATGTCGACTGTAAAAAATGAGTTTATTCAATACAATTCAAATTTTAATTTAGTTATAGAGGAAGGAGGAAGGTGACAAAAGTTGAGCAATAAGTTGGCCTAAAATATGCTAGAAGCACTAGAAAATAGTATTATGGCTGAATTTAATTCTATTTACTAAAGTAAACTCAATATAGTTTCTTAGACCTGGTCCGGTGATACCAGATGAAATTTTCTGTATTTTTTTCTGGATTTTCAAAAACATTTTTAACCTCAATTATTAATTAATACCCCATCCTAAACTAACACCAGAAGTAGAAAAAACAATTAATCAGTTTCTAAAAAATATTTCCACAATATCTTGCGCATCCAAATCAAATTTTCGTTTTTTTTTCTGCAAACTATGTTTCATTCTTATAGTCGTCAATGTTATTTATTTTCATCTCTTCGCAATTCCTAAAATGAAAAAACTTAGCAATAGGTGCTTATCTTAATTTACCAGTTTCCAATTATTATTTGAAATAGCAACGACGACATAATCAATGGACGTGATAGTCAACCACACTACTAAATCTACCATGAAAATTATCCAACACTGTGATGTATTTGCAATTGCAATTTATTTGTAACTATATGTGTTTGATTTTTGCACTCAACCACAAGACAACTTAACGTATGTATAGAATATCCATGTGTTTTTAACATTTTTACTTTGTAACTAATGAGTTCAAATTTATTTTACAAATTCCTATTGCTTTTTCTCTTTTTCTTGTAAGTCGATTGCCACACACACACACACAAAAAGTTTTCTTAGTACAATATAGAATTGCAACTTACAGAAAAACTATATTTTTAGCGAAAAGTTAACCGCAGAAGGAAGAATACACCGCAACTCTTTTTGCAATTAAAAATCTTTGGATTCCCCTGGAATCCTTGGAATTTCTGTGGAACCCTTCGTCATTCCTTTGAAATTAGTTGGAATTCCTCAGTAATTAGTTGGAATTCCACTGTAATTAGTTGAAATTTCTATGTAATTAGTTGGAATTCCTCCGCGGTTTAGCCCTCTATTTTTTTGCTGTAGCAATTTCAACATACTTTATCATTGTAATAAAATCGCGCGTTGGATCCTTCTTATCCAAATATTTTGGCGTTTGCTGGGACTAATATGATTTCAAGCAGAACAATTATTCTTCATTTAGAAACATCGATTAGGTTAGACATCAATGGTGGAACATTATTTCAATAGTTTACTTTAAAAAAATACTATTTTTAAAAATTATTTATCGCCCAATGCCCTTGATTTCACGGATCCCGATTGATGTGCCAAAATTAAACCCAGAACAAGATTCCGTGCTGGGAATTTGGCGCGAATAGTACGACTATCGTGTTTTCTTGTGCTAATTTCTTTCCCGTTCCGCATTTTTCTTTCCATTATCTCAGCGCCGGTAGCTACATTAACGTTCTGTCACCGATGAGTGATGTTTAAAAATAAAATGTGGTCGTGCGACGGAAATTGTTTTGATTTCTAGACAGTACGTTTTTTTCACCGCCGCGTTTCGATAATCCCCTTTGACAAAATGTTGTGCGGGCAGTGCTCGGAGGAGAACGCCGATATAGCGGTGGATTTGTTGTCTAAAATTGGTGCACTGAATGGCGTTTGTAAATACTCATATGAGGTAAGGCTTATATTTAGAACTCGTGTAACCTTGCGCTTCAGCGAATTTGTTAACATTAGATAATAACATTCGGGGGCTTCAGCCATGCAGTTCGCCAGTGAAATGGTGTTATAACTGACATAGGGTATTTAAACTGACAGTAAGCGTCCATCATTACACTACTGATGATCAGTAAACCATATATACGATTTTAAGAAAGAGAAATCGGTTTATTTAATTTCGTTTATAAAAAAAATCCTTTAAAATGCCACATAGTGTTCCAGTGAAATTCCGAGTACTTCCAAGGAACTATAGGTAACTAAAAAAATACGGTGTACAATCTTCCCTGAGCGACAGATTTCAAAAACTTATAGTTTTTTAATAAAAGTTGCCCTCGTCTTGTTTAATCTCTACTCCTAGGCAGTATTCAATGGCAACATTATAAATTATCTTCACCACAACTTCAGTCTCCAATGGACTTCATACCTCCAAGACCAAACTATTCTCATGATAAAAACGATAAAAAAGACACTCACACTAACTCTTCATTGAACAGGTGCCATCTCTAAACTACCTGGGCACAATCGTTCACGGAACAATGGGATCCAAATCCGAAATCAGACCGAGAATTGAGCAAGCGTAGGAATTTCTAAACCATATAAAGGCGCTACTGGTGAACCAAAACCGCAGCCTTGAACGCCAGATCAAAATACTTGCAACATGTTTAGGCAAATGCAGCAAATATCGTGAACGGAACGCAAGACAAACATAGAGGTTCCACATGAAAGAGGTAAACATAAAGAACTCTTCATGGCAATAAAAGAGAGCAAACTCCAATACCAGATGAGATTCTCCACCCGATAATAGATTTCTTCTATGAGCAAGACGGTTGATCGAGCACAGAATTCATGACTGAAAGGTTACGCGGATGGCTGGGGCAGCTATAATTAAAAACCAATTTTTCGAAATATATTAACATATTTGTTCGGTGTTTATGTTTAGAAAAATATTTTCGTAAAGTGTGTTTTAATATGTTTTAATTTGAGATGCGTCTGGCAATATTTAATTTAAAAATCTACACACAATCTACTTTTTTTTTAATAGAAAAGTTATATTTAACTGGTCTTTAATTCCAATATGTCCTCCATGAGAAAAATCAAAATTGATGATGGGTTATCATTATCAATTATTATGCTTCTGTCGGCTTGCCACACGCAAGAAGCTGATTGAGTAGGCATTACGAGTAATTATATACTCATTATAAACTGCATTAAAAAAATCGTTTAACAAAAGTAATTTGAAAGAGCTATCACAGTAGGTCTACAAGATGTCTTTTTGAGGATTAACCGGAATGCTACAATAGTAGATGCGATTTTCGACAGAGCACAGGGGCATTATTATACACGTAGTAGGAGCACTGGGACTGTAAGCAGAACCTCTGATTACTAAGAACGGCCATTTAGTGCTCTCAGATACCGTTACAAACCAACAAGCATAATCAGACATAAGTGGAAGCTGCCTACAGTTTCTATATATTACATTATAGAAGTAAGGCTTTTGGACTATAGTTATATGGTCCTCAGTTGGTATTGCTATTAACCAATAGACATGGACAGCCTCCTGCATCATGTTCAGGATATCACTGGAATCGGGAATGGAATCACCGGATGTAGGCACTATTTCTAATAAGTCGTTTCTATAAATTTGTTAAAAAATGTCGTCGACTCGTTAAAAGCTTTGTCTCTTTTTGCTGGCAACAATAACGACCGATCAGATGCATGGGCAAGTTGAACTTTCAGCTAACGTATCTTTCGGCTACAGATTTATTCCTGGCATACCGTGTAGCTTCCGGCATGAAAATGTTCCTAGCAGACGATTCAAAGAAGTTGTTTGGTAAAGTCGAGCAGCTGTGGATCGAAAGTCACGTGCTATAGTTGTAGAACGCCGAAACGCGAGAGAGTCGATTCGAATCAGATACCCTTGATGAAAACTAGAGCTTGGAATTGTTTTTCTCGATAACATAAATAATCGACCAATGTAAACCATAAACGTTTCGGTTTCATACTAATGCGAATAGTATTTTCGAAGAGGATTTTTTTTTAAGTTCTCAGAAAAGAGGTTAATTTGATGAGAACCGGCGCCGACAAATAAATCGCTCCCATATTGTGGACATTACGACGTACGACGTGTAGACGGTAACGTTTCGTACATGTTTACAAAGTGTTTCCGTGAAATAATCGATAAGTTTCAGGAGCGCCCGTCAGACAGGGGGGAGCTTTCCCATTATTAAATTAAAGCTGTTACACACGAAGGCTACTTACGACATATTGACCATCTACATCGGCACGAAAACACAGAACGATACTTCCCTTAGTTTTAATTTTCGGAAGAATTTATTAAAATAACTGCGTTCAATCGGAAGTTCGATTAAATTAAAATTGTTTGAGGTTAAATATACTTCTTAAAGTAAAAATACAACTCCATCATATGAATTAATTCACCACAGCGCCAGAGGTGATACTGTAAATCAAGATAAAAAGGTATTAGATATACAGACTGACTTGACTTTCGAAAAAGTTTATTCATTTAAATCAGTTTTGTCATGGCATTTTTTGGCAACTGTCTGAAATGTTTTTAATTTTCGGAAGAATTTATTAAAATAACTGGGTTCAATCGGAAAGGGACCGAGGATGTCTTTGGTAAGGCGTTGACCTGCCAACTCGAACTTGCCGAAGGTTGTGAGTTCGATTCCCAACGGGAGCCTTTGGCTGTTTTGTGCGTGAAAAATTGTTATCGGTCAATTTTTCTCTGAGGATGCCGGGAAATGGATGCATTTCCGAATTTGAGATGAACCTAATTAAGCGTAAAGGAAAAAAAAAGTTCAGTAGGATGTATTGTAGTAGTCTAAATGAATCTCATAATGATCGTTTGAGGTTAAATATACTTCTTAACATAAAAATACAGGTCTGTCATATTAATTAATTCACCCCAGAGCCAGAGGCGATACTGTAAATCGAGATTAAAAGATATTAGATATACAGATTGACTTGACTTTCGAAAAAGTTTAATAATTTTGTCATCACATTTTTTAAAATTCATAATAGATACAATATTCAAAATGCCAACTGTCTGAAATGTTGATACTTACTATGAGCACGTTTTCTACAGAAAAAGAATTCTAGTGGCATGAAGCAATACAGATATATATTATAAGTTAAAAGACCAAAAAGAAAAAAAATTGTCCTTCTGCGCCGTCTAAGTAATACCGAATTCGGATGTCTCAATTTCGAAAAATATTATATGCTTGTCAATTTAATTATCTTAACTACAAACATTTGCTATTGCCTTTATTAAACATTTTTTTTTAATTATAGTTTCAGCATCAGTTGTCACTTTACCGCAATGGATATTGATTTTGGACCTCGTACTGTTAAAACCGAGAATACTACTAAATATCTAAACGTGAGAGTTGAAAACCAGCTTTCGTTGTGTGAGCATATAGACTATGTTTAAAACTCAATAAAGATATTTTTATTAATTTCTCCATAGAACTCTCTCACCTCCAAGACACCAGTAAATTTAAACAACGCTTTAATAATAAGAGATACCGATACAATTGCTATCAAAAAGTACTCACTGCTTTGAACATATGCTCATAAATGCAGATCGAAGGATGAACTTAATGGAGCTTTTCATAAATATACGACAACAAATAGAAAAAACAAGAATTTTTTTTCCAACGATACAATTTATACTGTCAGAATTTCTGGATGTTCAACAAAAACTATTTCTTTCTCTACTAGCTAAAACTATAAAATTTAAATTATTTGGGATTATACTAAAATCGATTGAGGAAACATCCCGAACAAATATTTTTAACCATTTAACAGGCTTCAATTGGGCATCTCACTACAATTTATTTAGTATTTAGTTTTTTTTTTCAAAGTTTGCAATCTCTTTGGAGACCACAACTCGGCAATTACTAGTAAACAACACGGTGTTCTTCCCTGGCTGACTAACAAGTCAAGATAATGTGATTTTTAAAATGTATTATTATTTTTTTAATTTTATGGCATTCATTACGCCGTATTTTATTTAAAAGCGCACAAATAATTTCCAAAGTGAGTTATAAATTATTGATTTTAGTCAGGGGCCCGCGTAATGGTATTAACTTTTATATCGGTGATTTAAAGGATTCTAAGCCTTTCATTGGATGTTTATATTGTTTACACAATTCGCGTTGCTGGTGGAATTGTGTGATATAGAATATTATCTATTGCTTGTTAATTGGCTACTACATTTAATTTTGTAGGTACAATCATTATACATCATTTCAACACTTTTATTTTCAATTAAAAGTAAGAAAAGTTCTCACATCTATTTTTTAATATTGTAAGCAAATTTGGTTCCATTGTTTAAATCAAAGTGTGTTGTTTAGGCGGTGTGCCGGCATAGGCGAAAGAAATGTGGGTAAATTTGTCGAATCTACTTTCTTTTGACACCCATTGATAAATTACAACTGGTGTTTAAAGATGCGTATTTTATGAAATAATATAATTACTTGCGAAATTGTTTATATTGTTGATATCGTCTTCGGTGACTTCCGTTGCGTGCTCTAGGACACATTAAAATTACAAATGGCAACACTAACAGCGTTAATTTACACATAAGCATTAAATAAAACGCTTTTCATGAAAGTGAAAAACGTATCGCGTCACTTTCTTCTGCTCAATTACTTTAATAAATTAGACGCTACTCTCATGGCATTTAATTATACGCATTTCAGCTTTAATTGTGTATAATTTTCCGACAACCTTTAAAGGAGTAAATATATGGTTTCCTGTGTGATATATTTTTTACTTTTTATGTTTGTATTGCGAAACAACGATATTATGTTCACGTTGACTTGACAAAACTCTTTTTTCTTACTGGCAAAATTCGCATCACATTGCGAAATTTTCTTCCGACATGAACTGAAAATTATGGCACTATCGTGAATGTGAAAAAAATTTATTATTTAA